TGGTCGCCTCTCCTTGCCGTGGGAACACAACCTTTTTGTTTGCCTAGCTACAATTCGTTGATACCGTCTCCTTGAAGCTGCTGTCTGCTTGGTATACGCTCTTTTGAAGAGGTCCTGACCTCGGCAAACCCATCTAGCTTGGTAAGTAGGCACCTGCAGTATTGCATTCTTTCCGTAATTTTGCCCTGACATTTTTCCCTTCAGAATCATGTCTCTCCCTGAGCGACCGGGCGGCAGCCCGGTCTACGAACATCGGAACGTCTATCGAAATTCGCCTTCGCGACGCCCTCGCCCCAACGACATCGAGACTGGCTTTCAATCTGTGCCAAGAGCAGGACATGAACGTGGGAAATCCGTATCCTCTTACGCCGAGACCATTTCGAACCCTCATGCCAACACAGAGACTCTCCCGCTGTCACCGACGCATCCTACAGCCTCGCCTCCGCCGCACAGTCCAGACCAACCCTTTACCCGCAAAAGGAGTCTGATTCGACCAGAGCGCAACAGGATTGACAAGGACCACAGAAATTACCACTATCACAAGCATGCAGCCAACATGGAGACCATGCCCTCGTCCACCGGCAACGATCCCATCTTGGAAAACGTCGACGTATCCACCGAGCCATCGGGGGGCTCACAAACCCACGGAAGCTTTGCCGATAGCTCTCCGCCGCGCCATCACCGCAGTCGTAAGATGAGCGGCGATGACCAAGAAAAGGGCAATACCCGTGTCAAGTCGCGCCCGCGCCGCAGCAAGTCTGGCAAGATCACCAAGGAAACTAGGCATAGAAAGTCGCGCAAGAACCCTGCCACGGCCGAACAGATTAGACCTCCGAGTGCCTGGAACGTTTACTGTGCCATTGTGACATTCTGGTGTCCTGACTTCATGTTGAAATGCTGCGGCAAGCCCACAAAGGCTCAGCGCCGAGCTTGGCGAGAGAAGATGGGCCTCATCAGCATCATTCTTGTCATCATGGCCATTGTTGGTTTTCTCACCTTTGGTTTCACTGCTACTGTGTGTAGTGCACCTCCCGAGCGATTGAGGGTCAACAAGGTGACGGGTGGCTACATGATCTTTCACGGTGTCGCCTACGATCTGTCCACCTCGCATCATCCTCCGGCTGAAGGTATTCCCTTACGACAAGATGGCACGGGTGCCAACGTTTTGTTCGACTTGCCCGAGAAACATTCAGGACAGGATGGAAGTTTTCTCTTCCAAAATGTCAACGGCCATTGCAAAGGTCTCATCAACAAAGCCCCGGGCTCCGACGTTCCTACCAACTCGGACAATGAATTGGCCTGGTACTTCCCCTGCACTACGTTCAACCAAGACGGATCTAGTCGTCCCAACTTCACCAACCCATACTACTTGGGCTATGCTTGCCACACGAGTGCCAACGCCCGAAATGCCTTTTACGTTGGTCTAAAGGGAGCTGCTGATGTTTACTTCACCTGGGACGATATTCGCAATAGCTCTCGTAACCTGGTTGTCTACTCCGGCAGCGTTCTGGACCTCAACCTACTCAACTGGTTCAACGAGAGCGAGATTAGTGTCCCTGATCGATTCAAGGTTTTGCGAGACCAAGATAGCGCAGTCAACAAGGCCATCCGTGGTCGCGATGTCACCCGAATGTTCCAGTCCCCTGGCGATAAGCAGGTTGCTCAATGCCTCGAGGAAATCACTCGAGTTGGTTTCGTTGATACTGAGACTGTCGGTTGCATTGCTTCAAAGGTTGTTCTTTACTGCGCTCTTATTCTAATTCTGTCCGTCGTCGGAACCCGTTTTGTCTTGGCCCTGATTTTCCAGTGGTTCATCAGCCGCAAATACGCAGCCTCCAAGACGTCGCAAAGCTCAGATCGAAGAAAGCGTGCCAAACAGATTGAGGATTGGTCCGAGGACATTTACCGCGCTCCCGCTCGATTGCCCGGCGATGTTGGTAGCTCTGCCATGGGCTCTTCCGATAGAACGAGCAAGCGAGGCTCGTCTTTCCTGCCCACAACGTCTCGATTCTCTGCCGTCTACGGATCTGATCGTCCAACCGGAGCCAGACGTCTGCCCACCACCATGTCTAGCCAAGGTCCCGCAAGTGCTCTGCTCAATCCCAATTCCATCTACCGACAAGGCAACGATAGCCGAGCCAGCTTCTTGCGTCCCGATCCTTACTCGAGCGCTGCCAGCCCCTCTGATGGCCCCGGTCCTGCTGGATTCATTCACGACTCAGTTGTCCCCCAGCCACCATCTGACTGGATGCCCTTTGGATTTCCCCTGGCTCACACAATGTGCCTGGTTACGGCTTATTCGGAAGGCGAAGAGGGCATTCGGACCACACTCGATTCTATTGCTATGACTGACTACCCCAACAGCCACAAGGCTATCGTTGTTATTTGCGACGGTATCATCAAGGGCAAGGGTGAAGCTGTCTCTACCCCCGATGTCTGCTTGGGCATGATGAAGGACCATGCGACTCCTCCAGACATGGTTGAGTCATTTTCCTATGTGGCTGTTGCCAGCGGCTCGAAGCGTCACAACATGGCCAAGGTCTATTGCGGTTTCTACGACTACGGCAACAAGAGCCGTATCCCTGTGGAGAAGCAGCAGCGTGTGCCCATGATGCTGATTGTCAAGTGCGGCACCCCAGACGAGGCCGACAAGGCCAAGCCTGGTAACCGCGGCAAGCGAGACAGTCAAATCATCCTCATGTCCTTCCTCCAAAAGGTCATGTTTGACGAGCGAATGACGGAACTCGAATACGAAATGTTCAACGGTCTCTGGAAGGTCACTGGTATCTCACCCGACTACTATGAAATAGTGCTCATGGTCGATGCCGATACCAAGGTGTTCCCTGACAGCTTGACACACATGGTATCTGCCATGGTTAAGGATCCCGAGATCATGGGTCTGTGTGGTGAGACCAAGATTGCAAACAAGCGAGACAGCTGGGTTACCGCTATCCAGGTGTTTGAGTACTTCATCTCCCACCACTTGGCCAAGTCGTTTGAGTCCGTCTTTGGTGGTGTCACCTGCTTGCCCGGTTGTTTCTGCATGTACCGTATCAAGGCCCCCAAGGGCGGCCAGAACTACTGGGTGCCTATTCTCGCCAACCCCGACGTTGTGGAGCACTACTCGGAGAACGTGGTTGAAACGTTGCACGAGAAGAACCTGTACCTGCTTGGTGAGGATCGTTACTTGACGACTCTGATGCTGCGCACGTTCCCCAAGCGAAAGCAGGTGTTTGTACCCCAGGCTGTTTGCAAAACGACTGTACCCGACAAGTTCATGGTTCTGCTCTCTCAACGACGTCGCTGGATCAACTCGACTGTTCACAACCTTATGGAGCTTATTCTGGTTCGAGACTTGTGCGGTACATTCTGCTTCAGCATGCAGTTTGTTGTCTTTGTTGAACTCGTCGGCACGCTGGTGCTGCCAGCCGCCATTGCTTTTACCTTTTATGTTGGTAAGTACCATGGACCGCGTCGTCATTGCCACATGAATGCACCTCCAAGGAATACATGGGGGCTAACTTTTGTTTGCAGTCATCACCTCTATTATCCACTCACCTCCGCAAATCATTCCGTTAGTCTTGCTTGCTCTTATTCTAGGTCTTCCCGGTCTCCTCATCCTGGTCACGGCCCACTCGTGGTCCTATGTCGTCTGGATGCTGATCTACCTGGTTTCCCTGCCCATCTGGAACTTTGTTCTCCCGACATATGCCTTTTGGAAGTTTGACGACTTCTCATGGGGCGACACGCGTAAGACGGCAGGAGACAAGGTCAAGAAGGGCGGCATCGAGTACCAGGGCGAATTCGACAGTAGCAAGATCACCATGAAGCGGTGGGCCGAGTTTGAGCGCGAAAAGCGCGCCAGATCCGCCTACTTTGGCTCTCGGGAGAACGTGGTCGGCGCCCCCGGCGGCTGGGCCGTTCCTCCCAGCCACGCCCAAACCGACGGCTACTACTCAGACGCATGAAAACAACAACAATAATAATAACTTGCGTCATGAAAAGAGCGTCTCATTTCTCGTCCAATGGTGGAGCACTAAATGTTCATTGGTGTACCCTTCATTGCTATGTGGTGTCTTTTTTTTCCCCGTCTTTTTCCAAATATGACACGAACGGGGTGCTTGTACGAACAACATTACTAATTGCTTCCTGTTCTTTATTCACCTTGGCGTGCCCGAAGCGATGGTGGCATGGAGCCTAGGTGCTTTTTCCCGCCCTTTTTATTTCGGGTTGCGGCTTTACCGCTTGGATGGGGGGGCGCTGGCGATTAGAGATAATAAATAGTAGGCTGTGTATGGGACAGGGCGTGGCTGGCGTGTGGTGCTGCATTACCCTTTGCATATATAGGCGGCCGGCGTAATAATATTAGCCTTGGACTAGATTAACTACATGGTGCCCCTCTGTGGTGATTGTAGTGACTGGCCCTGTAAACTTCCCGTCTCTTGTCAACTACCTTACCCCACGAGTAGCAGATGGAGACGCGAGAGCAACGACACAGTCCAGGTGACACTTACGACGGGACAATGATGCTCCATATAATGGTACAAGACGCGATATTATATTGGGCGTAACACCATGAAATGTCACAAGTAAACGTAATAATCATTAAAGGAGGGTACGGATCAGGCAGGTATCTCGACTCAAACCCCGGTTTTCACCATCCCACCCCCGAGCTTCTAGCCCACAGTTTCGACTACGGTGTGAAAGAGGAAAAAAAAAGAGAGAAAACAACACGCACAAAGCACAGGGTCATCATTGATCGTCTCATGTCCCGCGTACGCCATGACAAAAGTGATCCGTCAACGCCGGCCAAGCTCGCTACAGCCAAAAAAAGAAAAATCAGAAATGAAAAAGGCAGAAATAGAGGCATCCCCCAAAAGATATTACCGGCAAGCTTCACACTTGCGACTCCACTTGTTTATACTGTTGGCCGTATGAAACACAAAGAGGTGGTTGGCTGGCCCTTTCTCTCTCTTTTTCAGTTCGAGTCATGAGGTGAATTACTTCTTGGAGCCGTCGACTTCCTCTTCACCCAATTCCCAGGGCTTCCGTGGGTCAACGAGAGTTGACAAGCGCTGGTCGCCCCAGCGAGCGCCAATCGTGACCCAGACGTGTTTCTGAGGGATCGTTGTGTTGACGAGCTCTCTGTAACCGGTCCATCGCAAGCGGGACTCTCGGCTCATGGAGCTGTTTCCAAGACCACCGTTGGCAACCCATTCCTTGACGACATTCTTGATGAACTCGACCTTGCGTCGAAAGTCGTTGGCGGCGGGAATACCTTGGACCTCGGGGTCAATCTCGGGTCGTTTGCGAGTGCTGGCTGAGCGGGTAGACGACTTGCTTTGGAAGTTGAGCAGGGTCTGCAGAGGGTATGAGAGGGTTGCGCGATCGTCTAGAGCGGCTGCGCCGATTGTGCCCGTCGACGCTAACCTTTCAGCGGCGTCTTGTGGGAGATGCCAGAAATGGCACCAGGTTCCGGTAGCATCAAGCACTATCTTGGTGTGGTCGGGGAAATTGAATTGAAGATGTCCGTCACAGAACACCCAACAACCAACGTCTCCAAACCTCTGGTAAAACGTTACCAGCTCTGCCATTGTGCCCTTTGCCCCCGGTGACATAACCCCTTGCCCTTCGCTCTCTTCAACCGGAAGGTTTTCATCTCTTCCATAGGCAATCATGTAATTGGCAAACTTCTTCCAGAGAATAATTCTCTCTCGCTTACGGTGCTGGTAGATATCTTTGCCGGGGTTCATCTTGCCAGCTGTGCCGTCCTCGCTGATAGACACCCTAAACTGCTCGGGTGAAACATTAACTTCAGACAGGCCGCCTTCGCCATTGTTCTCAAAGAACTTGATTGCTTCTGTCATAGGAACTGGTTGGTTTCTGTCCAAGTATGATTTGTCTTCCCGACGGAGTATGTGCCTCTCAGCGCCTCGGATGAAAATACCGGCAGGAGGTAGCATGGCCGTCTTGCTGCCCTCAGTCGTGGGTATATCCCTTAGTACACATCCAACACTGCCATCGTTCAAAATATAGCCAAGACCAAATTTGTTGGTATAGTCAACCCATTTAACAACCACATGAGGGTGGGGAGGTGTGACAGATTTGGAAGAAATGATTGCCATTGTACGGGAATTCAATGACCGCTCTAGTTCCGTTTGCAGCTTCTTCAATCGTTCGAGAATAATGTCAGGCCGTGAGCCTACGATAATCTCGGTTCTCTCGGATGGGGCAAAAAGAGTGGTCGCTCGAATGGATTGTGAATTTGATCTTTTAAGTGGTTGCAGAGGGGCAGATGTCATAGTGGCTGCTCGCTCAGATACTTGAAGGTTTGGGGCTGACCGCGCCGATGGTAGAGCTGTCCGGGCAGAGCTTCGCACGTTCTTGAGGGTGCCCTCTGAGGACACCTTTGAGGCTGTTTCCCGAATAGCTTCCCGCCGTGATGTTCCTCGTACACTTTGGCTTGTCGTCAAGGCAGGATCTACAGGAGGGTTCGATTTGATTGTTGAAGAGGTTGCCGTAGGCCTGTTTTGAGCACGCTGCTGAGCAGCAAAGCTCTGGGGAGGCTGTCTTAGCAATCCTAGAGGAGCCTTTTGTGCAGTGGTGGGAGGCTCTTCGGAAATGATTACTGGTTGTGCAGTGTGAGGCCCAACGGAATGTGAAAGTTTGCTCCTTTGGGGCATGTGCTCTCTGAGCCAGTCGTCAAATGGTCGGTAAACCACGTTCTCGGCAAGAGGGATCGTAGGCGTCAGGCCAACCTTTTCCTCTTGAGCCATTTCCTTCCAAACTTGCGAGTGGATGACTTTTACATCAACCCAAGGGCCAATTCCACTTTCGATGCACATTTCTTTTAGATTTCGATAAGAAGTAGTCTGCAAGGCGCTGCTCATTCGGGCGACATAAAACTCCTCGCGCTCAGGCGGCAGTTCTCGGAGACGATAGCTCATGTCAATGTCGGTGGGCATGTAGCCCGAGGTGAAGAAAGGGTGTAGGATAATGTCATCCGGCTCGGGGCGGCGGTCTGCGTCCTCCAACATGGTGGCAACCAGATCCTTGGCCTCTTGGCTAATGAACTTTTGAGTCGAATCGCCGGTAGGCCACTCGTAATCTCTTTCCCTGGCTCGGCGGTAAATTTCATCTGTTGTTGATGATTGGAAAGGGGGTTTTGATGTAAGCATAGCGAACCTGGATGAAGTTAGTGAAATGTACTACGATCAAGCCGAATCCCGTCGAGCAGGAATCGTACATGATAATGCCCAAGCTCCAGATATCGACCATGTGATCGTGACCCTTCTTGCCCTTTTCCAAAATTTCAGGGGCAATGTAGTTGGGGGTTCCGCAAAGTGTGGTTCGGCGAATGGTCTGCATGTCCCTACCAGTAACCACCAAGGCAGCTAAGCCGAAGTCACCAATCTTGGCATTCATGTGAGAGTCGAGAAAGATGTTGCCCATCTTCAAGTCACGGTGAATAATCCCCTTGGCGTGCATGTACTTGATTGCTCCGGTAATCTGAACAGAGTAGAAACGGACCTCGGGTTCGGTGAGTCCTTTCCGGCGTTTGACCATGTCCATTAGTGAGCCATTGTTGCATTGCTCCAGCACAAGATAAGTGCAGTTGTTGAAGGAAAAGGCTCGGAAGAATTGCACAATGTTCTTGTGCTTCATTTTGGAGTGTATTTGAAGCTCGGTTTGGAACTGAACACGGAGCCTGTTAGGCCAGCTATTCCCAGCAAAGTCTGAATGTGTGTCATCAAATGACTACTTGCCTTTTGCTCCATCTTGGGAGGCATTTTACTTTTGACAATTTTCAAAGCGTATTTTTGCTTGGTTGCCACGTGCAGGCCGCTGTAGGCAAGGGCGAAACCCCCTTTTCCCAGTAATTTGCCAACTTGATATGTAGCCCCCTCCGGGCGGTCGGAACTACATGGCTCGAAGACTTCTGGAGGGGGAGGCGGAGGATGCTCCTTGTCCTTGGCGGCCCGAAGCTGTGCGGCAGTCTTCACTTTGTTTTCGGTGGTTTTGGGCAATCGCTGGGCATTGGCATCTCTAGGAGACAAAGCCTCGAGGTCGACGCCGCCTTTGGCCGCAGCCAACCTATGGGCCATGGCTGCTAAGTAGAGAGGAGATTGCCGTGCGATGAATCAAAATATCGCTGCGTGGTGGATGGCGTATCGAAGGGATGGTGTGGTCGTCAATGCTGGCGGTAGCAGTGGAGGAATCGCCAACGGGAGCCTGGATTCAGATCGACGTGTGAGAAATACTGTTATTCATGATTCAATAACCCTGAATGGGGAACTGGTCATCTCCGGTCCAGCTTGCTGGCAGAGTAGCGGATGCACACGTGGAGCAAGACGTCAAAGAAAGGGATCAATCTCCTGCTCACATTCAGTACAAGCATATAGCATTCGCGTGAAGCAAAGCCAGAGCGAGCCGACGATGAGATATTGGCAAGGGCTCCTCGAGATGCCAAAAGACTGTTAGCAATGCTAGATTGTCGATGCGGGTGCAAGGAGAAGCGACAATTGAGTGACGGTTGTGTGGCTAAGCGGTCAATAAGACTGGGACATAGCAACCGGATGACCACGACAAGTCTCTTTCCTATTGCTGGAGGAGGGTTTGTGTACTTTGACCGTGTCTGGTGGTTGCCGGGGAACCAAAGTCACTCCAGTTCATCCATTCTCTGGCCAATTGTAGCCGGCGAGCTTGAACCACCCACAACAGTCCCAATCTGGCGGAGAGAGGCCCCACAGCCCGGGACTAGTTGGGCTTCTTTGAGCAACCATTGACATCTGGAGCCACTAGAAGCCACCCATGGAAGCCCTGAGAGGTTTGGTCAGGTCAATGCCTGGATGTCCGGTCCCTGAATGGTGGATGCGGATAGCGATGACGCCGGGAGCTTACCACGGAAGCCTTCGGAACATCGACATCGCGGCTCAGTCATCAATTGATCACGGACTTGCGTCTTGGGACAACTCCCGACGTCGCCCATTCCCGCAGCTGAGCACAGCCAGAACATCCCTCGCGCTATTCAACAACGATAGCTCGCTCTTTGGTCCCAGCATTGCGCAGCTCGAGTGGTTCTGAGGTATTCTCTGGGGCTCCGAGCGCCGACCTCAAATTCAACGGGACGCAAGTGCGACAACCATGGTGCCTCTACCTCTGTTCAAGCTCGCATCGCTCTTCGTACGGCACATCTCCAAATATGGCGCGGTAAGCCGGCAATTCTCTCCGTGAACGCGCCATAATGTCGCCCACTGACCCTCGCGCTCCCCCAGAACCAAATCAAGGCACAAGCCCACGACCACCCACGATTTCGCGCATTCGCCGCAAAGTACGGCCAGCACATCCACCAACTAAACATGCGCATGTCCGTCGCCCTACTCCGCGACCCCGAGGCAGAGCGCCGCGCCAAAGAACGAGCCGAAGCTCCCACGGTCAAAACCGAGGAGCAACACAAGCGCGACGAGGCGGCCAAGTCGAAATCCAGCCCTGGCAGCTCCTCCTCCTCCTCGCCACAGTCAGCAAAGTACCCCCGATTCACGTTCCAAAACGTGTGGAAGAGGAAATTCCGGCCTCTTCCCGAGGGCAAAGCAGTCGACCTATTCGCAGACGTTATTGGTGATGCGTTTATCCTCGGTGTGGCAGGTGGCTTGATCATATACGAGTCGTGGAAGGCGTTGCAAAAACCAGATGTGAACAAGCAGCGAATCGAGGACTTAGGCGAGAGGGTGGAGGCTCTGAGGAGGAGAGAGGAGGAGCTGGCGGATGCGGAGGAGAAGCAGAGACAGAGGCTTGAGTCCCTGGAGGAGGCTTTGAGGGCTCTCAAGGACCCCAAGACGAAGGAGCCTCTGTTACCGACATTACAGCCTTGAAATGATGCTCGATTTCATGTTGGAAAGAGCGACGGGACGCGCATTCTTCTTTTGTCTAGGAAGTTTGGCGAGCTACACATACCATGGGTGGAGTTTTGAGCGGCCGATACCGTTGTACATAGTGGCATATGGGACTTTTATTTTGATCTTTTGTACTACCACCAGGCATCTTCTCAATCAGCGTATATATTAGACCACATAGAAATCAGTGGAGGTGGTCATTTCCTCACTTCTACTCTCACAAGGCAGAGCGGGATGGGGGGAGCCAAGGCACCGGGCCGGATAGGCAAGGGAAGGCAAGAAGCAGAGAGCTCTTTCCACCCCAAAAATAAATCTCCAAAGTCTCTTCTCCAAGAACCGAGAACCGCGTCCCCCCTCGTCTGTAAGAGAAACGTGTTGAGCAGCATTGACAAACTTGACTACTGCACAGTACGTGCTTGGGGCATAGGTGTGAAGAAACTTCCCAGTCATGTTCAGTTCATCACTTCGTCAACGAACTGAGTGGTCTCCGGCGCTCGCCCTTTTCGCTCAATCTCCCTCGAAATGGAGAGGTAATATCTTTCCAACCAGCCATAGTCTAGCGCACTGACAAAATCTTCTAGAAACGAACCTCCTCAGCCATGACATCGAATTCACACTTCAACACTCGGCTAGCTACTCGCTAACTTATCGGATGGTGCTCATCTCGGCAAAACAAGTAGGTACTGACGACACAACGCGCAGGATCGAGCAGCTTTCCAAGGACGGAACCAATAAGAAAGCTGTCGTGCTTCTGATGCAAGGACATGATGCGTTGTCTTCGTTCATGAGGCTGCAAATACAGTACGTATCTGCCATTGAGCTGATTAAAGTAGTCATTCTTACCAATGCAGAATGCTTCAGCATGAATCCATCTCTGCTATACCCGTATCCAGCGCTAGCCAGCTTATTTGTCATCTCGATACATTGAGGAGACAGAACATGATTGGCATGAACGGACTCGCCCAAATTGACCGTCATGCGGTCCAGAAGGATCTTTTACGTCACTGTGTTTCAGGCACGCCTCTATCAATGGAACAGGTAGATGTGTTGTTAGGTTCAGTCAGACATCTGAGGGAGTTGGCCAACATGGTGCAGACCCGGGAAGGACAGGAGACCATCTGTAGGCTGTTGGGCGACGCTGATGGTCGCAGCTTGATTACGTATTTCACCAACGGCCCGAAGTTCACGTAGGGAGAGCATAAAAGACGAGTCGGTTATGATTATGCCTTGTACCCTCAATGGCCGAATAAAAGGCCTACAAGGCTGAGGTAGAACACCAGATAGGCTAGGGTCATCGAATCAATATGCCTTCAGGAGCCATTTTTACGGCACTTAGCCGCGCAGCCTCAAGTATGAAACCGACACAGCCAACAACGCAGTGTTGGTCGTAGCTTAGTCGGCAGCCGCGCGCCTCATGGCGCAAATGGACTGGTTTCACAAGAAATACATCGAAGCCCAGCAAAGGTCGTTTATAGACAAAGGTTGGCCAACAACGACATAAAAAAGTCTGAGACACCTACGAAGCGCTCATCTGCAGCTTCAACGCTCTGTTCGCATAGCGTCATATTCTTCACCTCCTCCTGCTCCTCGATCCAGTAGCCATGGCCCAAGCAAGCGCTGATCAGGCTAAGCGACACAAAGCGACGTATTTTCGGGACCAGTTGGCCGAGGTTTTTTTTGTCTGTGTTGGCTTCGCTGAGCTCACGCCAAGCAAGCAGTAATGATACGATTCTGCCATAATCCGTCGTTGAGGTAATTAATTATTCCGCATCAATGGTATTTGCCCGATGGCTGCGACCAATGGAACATTTTTGCGATTTCCAACAATAGAAACAACTATTTATGTATGCCGGGCAAGCCATCCCTGCCAATGCAAGGTGAGGCGTTACCCCATCTCATTGCGCACGAGCAAAGAAAGTTCGCATCCACGCCTGTACGTCAAGGGCCGATGTTTTATAGAAGAGAAGCATTAGTGTGAGATAAGAAGCCGGATGCAAGTTAGTTTGGAGCCCAGATGCGACCGACAAGTACAGCCTCGGCATGTTTTCGAGTCTCTCACTCCTTCTGAGAACGCGCTCCAGCTTTGGAAAACGGTAAGTTAGCGAATGGAGGCGGAGGGACTTGTTGGCAAAGACGGAGTAGCGGCCAAGATCAATGGGCGAGTTGTGAGCAACTCCGCGTAATGGCCCCCTCCTATCGTCTAAGTCGGTCGAGTCTCAATGCAACTGCACCTGTCGAGGCAGAGTGATACTGGATGTGATTGGCTGTATCTCAGCTCACGAGTGCCACAACGACGACCCGTCTCCAATCAGCGATGCTACAGAGCCGCCGGAGAGTGGTCAGGGTTCACGATAGATCCGCATGGACTTGGCTGGAGTACCGGGGTTCATTGGTTCGGGTCGCTGTGTGTGCGGACGCAAGTACATGTGTTATAAAACAAAAAGGCTTGTTGAAAGAAGAATAATGAACTCGCCCAGGTGATGGACGTGCCATCCAAGTTATTCTCGCTAAAAAGGTTGCATTCTGCGATTCTTGGCTCCAGGGATTGCGAGATAGCATATTCAATGGCCTTGTCCTGCGGGTGAAGACGGCATGTCACTACCTGTGTGCTTCTTGCTTTGATTGACTATTGCTGGGCAAATGCGCAGAAGAACAAACCGTGTGTAAAGTCTCCTCCCGATTGAAAGTCACTTTTGAAGCGGAGGCCTTTGCTCAGAAGGGTTGGGTAGCTGCACGCACAGCCGTCGCTTTGCATTTCCCAGGTGTTTGCCGTTTATTCCACTGTCAGCCGATGCACCTACTGAAAAAGGAATCAACGTTGGGTGAGAAAAGAGACGTCGCTGAGTAGATATAGAGAAAATAAGACCGGCTCATCGTAGTTCATTTCACGCTTCGTGACATTTTAAGATGAATCGAAATAACAAATTGAGTTTCCTTGGTACCGGCTCGTTGGTGTTATCGGAACGGGAGGTGCACGTGGCGGAGCAATAGGGAACCGGCGGTGGGAGTCAATCAACTAAAGCTTACAGGACTACTCCGTAGATGAATTCCCAGTCTAGTGGGTGGTGTGCGGTTCACCGTATTGTCGAGACTTGATATGGAGATTTTGGCAGAACCTATGACCGTCGCATGGCATGAGAGGTGACAAGGGGCCCAGCTGTCGGGTTGACCAAGCGTGGTAATACCTAGGTAGTAGTGCTTCGTGTATAATACCTCGTGGTTTGTTAAAGATTGAACTGTACTATGGAGTTGACGGTGGGGCACATCGTGATGGGTTGGAAGTGGTTGCAGAGTGTTCGTGGAGTCGATCCGTCGTGGGTTGACGAGACGCCTCAGACACCATGTGCTTCACCATGGAGCCCAGACGTCGCACAAGTCATACGAGACCCGCCACCGTCGCGCCTGTGTAAGGGGACTTTATGAGGATAAGCCACAGACGAGACTTTGGGAGATGATAGATAGTCTGACGATATGGGTGAGTCTTACTCCGTACCAGAGGGTCAATTCGTCTGAGCCATCACATTGGCGATGCGTGATAGTCCCAATGGCTCCCAGAAAGTGTCTCGCAAAAGCAGGGACAAAAAAGCCACACATGCACCGTCGGTAACTATGACGCACGCAACCACGATGGGCTGCTAGTTGCGGTAGTACAGATCGAGTCGTTTGCCCATTGCAGTATTTTTGTGGCTGGTTAAAGGGGAGCACACTCTCTGCTGGGTAGATTGAGGAGCCAAGAATATAGAGACGACTGGCCGCTGCACGCGATGCTAAATGATGCACGAGAAGCGAGCAGGAGCCGTCCTATCGCGAAGCAGAAAAAAGCTAATGGAGGGTTGCAAGACGATAGTTGCGGGACAGGGTTTTGATGGGGAGCGTTGCGCTCATCTGGATGGTGAGAGCAAAAAAAAAAAGTGGTGGTCGGTTCAAGGTTGGCATGCAAGTCTGGAAGACGTCGAAAATGCGAGAGTGACAGTGGCTGGCACAGAAGGTACCTAAGCTGCCAGCCGGGTGTTGCGGGCCACACAGGTATCCTCTCGGGGCTGGTCGTCGTCTTGGAGGGAAGGTGCATCCAGGTGCTCTTCTGTAGCAGCAAATGCGGCACCTTCCCCCATGCGACCCAGAAACGGGAGGGGCGACCCTGTCGTCCCGGAGCGGCAAGGGTGCTGATTGGCTCTCGGCCAACGTGTAACCGCCAGAGTTTCTCCAATCACCTTGAGCCACACCACCGATTCACCTTCTTTGTCTCTCCCCGTCGCCGTTATGTCTCTTCAATATACCACCCGGCCAATTCGACTCTGTGTCTGTGCCGCTTTCAAGTCGCTGTTGCTAGCCGTTCCTAAATAGTACCAACCGGCCAATTCTGGGCCGGCCGACCCAATGGGCCAACAGTCTTGCCGCAGGCCTGCTTCTTGGCCGAATTCCCGGTACCTTAGTTTCGCCTTCACTCATCCATGTCGTCCAACCATGTGCCGTTGCCTTAAACTTGGCTGCTAGCGGCTTTTCCAGGTTCTCCTCACGCCAATCTTCATGTATTCACGCCATTTGTGCTTGGCCATGTACGCACGGAGTAGTCCCTCGGCGCCAACCTCGGCGGTTACACGAATAGACTCTGCAAGGGTCGTGGCCATGCGAAACTGCAGATGTCATGCCGGACCATGCTGTACTATCCATTTCTTAAATCTAGCTTCCCATCTGCTACCGCCAAGTGTGAACCTCCTTGATCTTCCTCCCCTCCAACTACTGTCCTCCTTGATTCACGTCTCCGACATCGTCTCGTCTGATGATCACAGTCTCAAACGCCTCCTCGCTCATGCGAACAAGAACCAGATCTAACTCTTTAACCACCTCGACTACGGACGAAACCGCCTCGGACTGTTACTTGCCCAGGATAGAGTCAGCAGTTAATTCTGCTACACGCGAAGCCGTCACCAACACTGCAGATCAAGCAGCGCCATTCTCAATCCGCCCTCGAATCATCACCGACTCAGAATATTCGGCTTTTGCTCAACCTCAACCTCTTCCCACAGCTCTATCGCAACTTACACTTCTTCCTTGTCGTGCACCCTAGCCTGGTTGCAAGAGGTTAGTGCCGCACGGATGCCTGCTGTCAAGAAACAACGGACTCAGTCACATACTCGCAACTCACCATCAAGTTGGCCTCATCCGGTACTGTGTGTGTCTCGCCAGCAATCAGCATCTGATACACGGGCTTGGGCTAGGCTCGCCCTTCTAGGCACCGGCTACAGCCCTCCGGCGCCTTGCTAACCCTGCTGCCGACTGGGTTGTCAAGCTTATTAGATCCTTACATTTCCTCCTTCCAGGAAACGTTTGGGTCTGTTCTTCATCTCTTGCGATTTCATCCGTTGTCTCTTATTCTTTACCCCCGGTTTCCTCGACCAGTCTGGGCCTGTCGAGAACCACCTAATATCGAGTCTTTCTTTTCCACTACAACCATTCATTCATCCCAAAGCTGTGTCGGTCTGGTTACCAGCACGTTCTTTGCGTCCTCTAGCTTCCTCTTAACCGGCTCGCGCCTATCTGTACTATTTACCCGCAAGAGAAAGTTGGGGCCTCGACGGCGAATTCAGTGCATATCATCCAGACCTTTTCTCGGTTATCATATAGACGATCAGCAAGCGATTCAAGAGCATCCCGAAGCTTTGACAGGATATCAGCAACGGACGGATTTGAGGATACAAAACAGCAAGAGACTGGAAAAGAAGTGAATACCTGGATTAGATTAATTATTCGGCACCATGGGCAGACTTATCAAGAACCACTTGGGCCGCCTCATCATCCTCACCGCCGCAGCCTGTATGTTCTGACAGCCAGTCCTCTACGGAAAACAACAAATTACTGACATTTGTGCAGATCAAGTTGGCGCTGCCATTGAAGGGTTCATTTGGCCCAAGATATTTTGGGACTTCCTCACCAAGAACCTCGACCCGGCTGTCAAGCCCATCCCGATTCTGCAAACAATCAACCTCATCTTTGGACTGGGTATGCTTGCCCTGGAGTGGCCATTGAGCTTTGTCGCCGGGTCAAGCCTTCATCGGTCACTGGAGTTCCGGCTTGCGGTCCTCCCCCTGACGGCACTCACGTCCATCTTGATGTATCAGTCCACCAACCCGGCAATCTACTACGTCATTGGAATGGTTGTATATTTTGTGGCATACAGCGAGGGCGAGGTATGCTACGCTTCACGACTTTTGCACACGCAAATCGGCATGCTAACGTAGAATGAATAGATGATTTGCGCCAAGCCTTGGACTCTACCACAAAGAGGCATGGCCGGGCTAGGATTGCGCGCGTAAACGACAATGTCGGAGCCGAGTCTTTTCGTTGCTTAATGTCGAATGAAGTAATTCTCTCTTATCAAATCTTTTGTTTTGCATTTTAGCGCCGGCGTTTTTGAGTCCTTATTACATTACAACTCGGACCTTCACGGAGCATTTTCAGCATGTCCGGCGGGGTGGTGGACTGCAGCATTTTTTCCTAATGATTCCCCGATGGATTCTTAGGAGTGAAAAATGGGAGGGGCTAATGGGTGTTGCTGGTGGATGTGGGTAGCCCGGAGAATTAACGCCTCTAGTCACTCTTTGGAAGAATGTTTTACCATGTCAAATACTTGCGTAGAGTATTCCGCACGGTTGCATTGGGTACCTTGGTGGCGGTGGTGGACGGTGTGAATACAGTTCTATGTGACAGCAGCTGAAAGGGAGTACGGGTAGAGTAGCACTTGTTGATCGGAGACATTTCGACCAACGTTTGAACGGATCGAAGACGAACAAAGAAAATAGAAGCGGCGCACGGAAATTCCAAACAGACAGTGTCTAGCATAAGTCGTGTACCGGCTGTAACACAGCTTCTCGATTCAAGATATCCAGAGTGAAGCGTCTCTGTAACACCTCCAGACCCATATACACCTGAATCAGGTAACTTCATAAACAATGTAGCTCAAAACCCGTCAGGCCTCTGTCCAAATACCATGCCCGTCGCATCCCAAAGAAGTGTCCACCTCAGCATCAATACCATGATGACGGCGCCGTCTTCAGCCCGTGTCCAAAGAGAGCGCGAAGTTCTCAGAAACTCAAATTCAGGGGTTCGGTGGGATAACGTACAAGATCGAGGGCAGTATATCCAATACGTGAGTTTGAAGAAGCATCCTGCAAGTCATACGCCTACGAATCGCGCAAATACTGTCCTCGGCACCACAGTTAAACATACGCAAGACTGAACTGAAGACGGAAAAGAAATTAGGCTTTTATCAAGTGAACTGGCAACTAGTTTCTGGATCAATGGATAGACTTTCCGGAGGCTTGATGAAGCTATTCGAGCGAGTTTGACCTTTAGGCTAGAATGGCGTGACGGTCATTGTGGTATACTCTATTGAGCATGTCGGGGAGCCAGATAAAGAATGCACTGTTCCTATCGACACTCGATGCCCAAAACTACCAGTAATAAGAACACATACAACGGATACGGAGGCGATCTAGAATTCGGGGACTGTAGTGTGTTGAAGGATCTGGATTGTATTGACTGCCTCCCTGGTGCCATCGTGACTGGGCAAGGACAGATGAGTCATACCCCGTGTTTTAGAGTATAGAGTAGTCAGTTCTGAGCCAGACCCAAGTGTCGCAAATGCTCGCCATGTGAACAGAGGAGGGGAATATGCCAGCTTGCATATTGCTGCTGCCGCGTTCTTGTACGATTGCGGTTATTCTCTCGTTGTTCCGCCCTGTTCGGAGTCCCGAGATAAAGGTCATATTCTCATCATGGTCATTTGTTCTCCTGCGCCATCAGGTGCTTGTAGTCTGCATTGAATGCAGGAATTCCGACGATTGGATTAAATTGAGCGCGGGACTGGTCCTGGACTGAATCCGTCCATGAAGAAATTTTGGCCAAGGCAAGGCGCCAACCAACTAGTTACTGGATGGCATAAATCTGTGCACAAATTCATACACAACTAAATGCACATCTGGAGCCGCCCCACCACTTTAAGTGCCCGCAGCTTAGAAACGCGCCTCTGGACGCGTCTCACCCGACAAGCTCCAACTCGTATTCGATCCATTGCCATAGCTGCCTCACCGCAGCCCAGCACCCAGCCTAGCATGGTGACCCTCGAGGAAGTATCGCACCTCATCCCCAAAACGACGTCGTAAGTTCCAATTCTGTTGCAATTGTCAACCTGCATCCTAACTTGCAATCCCAGGGACGCCGCAACTCCCACGCCAAGCCGTGTGGCCGACTCGTACAATCCCCTGCATGCATTTGACCTCGACAAGCAACGGTCGTACAAGCAGCAATATGGCGACATGTACTTTTTGCGTCTTACCAAGATCAAGCCCGCCGTGGAGGAGGTGGCATCGGCCGCATGGGAGGGCACCATGATTGGTGGCGAAGAGGTGAAAAGAGTAGAACGGGTGCTCGATGTTCGCCAGGGAGAATTGTGCTGGGTAGCGGGGACAGTGTACATGGAAATGCCGCTCAAGCCTAATATTCTAGAGGATGTGTCCAAAGACGTAAGCTCAATGCGTCCCATGCTCCGAAACCACCCCAATGCCTACAAAGGACACCACGTCTTCACGTTATAAAGTAGTTGACTGACAATCTCAGCGATGGATTTCCGCCCCCATACCCACCCAGCAAACCTACTTCTCCCACGATGGCTCCGACCAAATCATGCTTGAAGACGACTCCGGCCGCATCCGCCTCGTCGGCGACCTTGTACAATCCGTCCCCCTCGTGACAGGCTGCATCATCGCCGTGATGGGCACCGAAAACAGCAGCGGCGAATTCGAAGTCATTGACACCAAATACCCCGACCTCCCCGACCAGCCCGAGCGATGGGCCCTCTCCAAACCACCCTCTTCGACCAACGGCCACGGCAAAAGCAGGCAAATCGTCAAGGAAGAAGACCAAGACGTCGAAATGACAGACGCCTCACAGTCAACGCCCAGCAAAAAGATCGCCATCGTGTCCGGCCTCTCATTCTCCAGTACCGACGCCTGTGATGCCGTTGAACTCAACCTGCTGCAGGAATACCTCCTTGGCCTAGCACTCACATCATCCGACCAAGAAGAAGTCGCGAGCATAAGCAGGCTCATCATCGCCGGAAACTCCATCTCCACTACCGCCGAGCGCAAGGAAGAAGAGACCCTAAAGAAGGGGAACAAAAAGTACGGATACGACGCGAGTTCCTACAACGCCCTCCCCTCACAGCTCTTTGACGAATTCGCCGATACATTGCTGCCCTCAATACCAATTACCCTCCTCCCCGGCGCTCAGGATCCCGCCAACGCCAGCTATCCCCAGCAACCCATCCACATGGCCATGTTTCCCCGCGCAAGGGCATACGGGCCCGAGCCAACAAAGCCCAAAGAACCAGGGTGGTTTGACGCCGTCACAAACCCCTGGGAAGGCGAGCTCGAAGGCTGGAGGGTTCTAGGCACCGGCGGCCAGAATGTGGACGATGTGTTCAAGTACGTCGACAGCGACGATAGACTGGGCATGATGGAAGCCATGTGTAGATGGCGGTGTTGCGCGCCCACCGCACCTGATACATTGTGTAAGTAGTCTTGCTTCTCGCGTGCAAAAGGTGATCTCTCAAGCTGACCAAAGGTAGGGAGCTATCCGTTTCAAGAAGATGACCCGTTCGTCATGAAGACGTGTCCGCACTTGTACTTTGTAGGCTGTCAGCCTGAGTTTTCGACAAAGACGATTAGCGGCCCGCATGGTCAGTCAGTAAGGCTGATTACTGTCCCTTCATTTGCGGAGACAAAGCAGTTGGTACTTGTTGATATGGAAACGCTAGAGGTCTCGTTGGTCAGTTTTGGGAAGCAAAAGTCTGCTTCGTGAGGGATATAGCGCAAGGCTGCATAAAATACCCGAGGTGATGAGATATCTTCACAGTTTCTATCATGTATGTAACGAGGGTGGAAAAGAAATAACACGACGAGTCATGAGCTACCATTTGTTCCGATTTACGTGCTAATTACTGAAGAGCATCCCTCTCCACCACTCTCGCCATTTCTAGTGTGCTATCGTGCTCGTCGCAATGGCATCAATTATCGTCCACTCGCGCGGCCCTTATTAATCGCCTCACTCACCGATCCACACCATACCAGACCACTCATCCCACTCATCCCCAGGCCAGGTTTGCTCCAGATACTCTTCGCAAGTCGCAGCAACATGCTTGTCCAGTGTAGCCAATGCCTTGAACGTCCTGCGCAGACTTCCCACCCGTTGTCTCTGCATTGCTTTATCGTTCCTCCATGCATCCATATTGGTGCGCTTCACCTCGTTATCTAGTCGCAGATGCCTCATGTCTATTTTGAACCGGCGTCCGAGATAAATACCCCCATCTCCGCGGCAACCCATAACGTCCACGAGTAGAAACTGGCAATGAATGCGCCAAGCTGCCTCCATAATGGGCGACCCTCTGTTGAAGAAGTCTACAAAAGTGTAGTATCCGCTGCCGCCTTCTTCCTTTGGAGGCTCCCACTTAGGCGTCACCCTAATCGTCAATGTATGAATATTAAAAATTCGGTGGCGGTTGTCTCTGTCGTGGTATTTGAAGACGCTCAGAGCATTTGCCATGAGCTTCTTGGACCTTTCAAAGGAGCGGTTTTGTTCCGCTTCCACAATTATATGCCGAAAGAGAGAAGAATACTTTTCAATGTTTATGTCGCCCTGTATACCGACTGTTCCAGCGCCTCGACGCCTCCAACTTTGTCGCTGCGGTGCATTCTGGCCGCTTGTCTCCTCCCGCCAATCGGGGTCGTTTTCATCTTCTGTGTCGTAGTCTTCGTCTACCTGCCCGTTGATGGGGAACGCTGCGTCGGCGTCGTCGATTTGCGCCAGTCGATCAACGTCGGTGACCCTCGAAACGTGATCTCGCAGTACGTAGAGGAACTTGTTGCCACCGTATAACACGCCGATTGCTTCGTTATATACGTCTTGACAGGTGCGCAAGATACTTGTCGGGATTACCAACGACTGTCTTTTGAAAACAAATCTCCAGCCCGAATGAACACGAATTGGGCTGTTGGACACAAGAAGTTCTTCATATATCGCAAGCCTGATTTCCAGAGGCAAGAACCATAGACACTTTCTTCTCTCATGGTCCGAAAGATGCTGCAGTTTGCATTCGTGGTCTAGGGCTCCGCTATTTCCAACTCCGGGATCCTCGTTAACAGACTCGTTGATCATAGGTTCGTCGATTTCTTGCCCAGAGTCATTGCTCATCTCTTCGAGGAAGGATGCGCCGTCATCTAAAGGATCAGGGATATTAGGGATGGGGGCTCTGGCTGTGGGTTGCTTCAGTCGTCGACGAAGTAACAACTTCTAAATGTCATCTCGCTCATACTTTCGCAACATGTGCTTCCAATTTGTAGGTTTGCCTTTACTGACATCGTCTGACTCTGCAGCTCTAGTACGCATTGCCCTTTTTTTTTGTTTGTCTTTCGATCTGCGTCTTTGCTTGCCTTTTGGCATATTTATTGATATGTCGCAGGGTCTGACGGCTTCGCTCTGTGTTGGCATGTTCGCGGGCTGCTCTGACGACAGGTGCTGTATGAGCCTTGCTTCTGGGGTTGCCTCGCAAGGGTCGGGCTGAAGCGCTGTTGAAGTCATCGTGACTAGTAGGTGGAGCCAAATACGGGATACCTTGAAGCAAACGGGAAGGAAATGAGACTAAAAGTACACAAAATGTAAAAGGTCAAGAAGGAAAATCGGCAGCTAGTTTCGAGGCTCCTTTAAAGGCTGCGGAAGGCCTTGAAGCCGGCGGCAACTGGCCGAGCCCAGCTGGGCAGCCCTAAAAGTGAGAAGAAAGTGAGTTTATCATAACACATTAATTACACTTAAATAAACCAGAACACGACCTGGTATTAGGCTTACGTTAAAGCGGTATAATACAATTAATAGAGATAAATATAAGATATTATTATATAAGAGTAGTAAAGAATAAAATTAATTATAACTTTAAGTTTAAGTTAAATCTAACTTAAACTTATTATATATACTTTAATGTATTATTATTAAAAAATAATTAAATTACTTAATATCTTAGACTAATATATAAAAAGAACGCGCTTTATTTAATTATAAGGTTATAATAAAGTAAAGATAATATAAAATAAAGGTAAAGGTGTTTTTCTTCTTATATAAAGGGTTTTCTCACTTAAATTAGTTATAAAAGTACTAGAATAGCTAATTATAGCTTTAAGGTAATCGATAATAATAAGAATAATGTAAAAGGTCGTTACCGTGGTTTATTAAGCAAGGCCAAGTTGATACATTGTTTCTTCGCGTCGTCCACATGATCACACTGTGTGAAGTACAGCCAAATATCACCACACCAAGTCGCTCAGACCATGGCAGTGTAGCTTCAGATTCAGACTCGGAATAAAATCGCAGTTCTGCGCAGCTCGTGCTTCGGTAGTATGCGACGGACTTCTTCCGCATTTAAAGTATATCTGTCTCTGGGTTAAGGTGCTGAAATTAGGCCTATGTCAATTTGAAGAACAGCAATCCGGGGAACGGACTGCGTGGGGTGGAGGGATTGTCACAACTCATATCCGATACTCGGACCGCATTACAAGTATCGCATATTGGAAATGACTACTTCGTCAACAGACCTGACTTGGTTGCATCCGGCACGATTGTTACAGGTCCGTCCAATGGTGGCAGTGGAATGGACGGTAAGACCAGCTTATCTTGCGTTGAGCTCGGTGAGGACTTGTTATCTCTCTGTTGCCCAGGTTTCCTGTGGATTTGCGATAAGCTTTGGAATGATTCATATCTGATGCCTCTCAAGTCTCTCAAAAGTAAGATTTTTTATCAATATGCCGCGAGCAGCAAGCTTGTTTCACCGAGCAGCATGCAAAGAAGCAATAGCAAAGATTGCATATGCTAGCGCCGTGTTGTTGTACTTCGCATGTGGCAGCTTGCAGGACTTGAGTATTCCCACTTGAGCCGGAGGGGGTGGTTCGGGCGTGGAATCAATAGATGGGTTTGTTGTACCAGCCCCCAAACACCGAACCATCTCCGTTCAAGAAAGAGTGGCGGCATGTGTTTTCACAAGGCGCTGCTCCCTCCACGGCGATGACGAATGACCAAATCAGTATGACGATCTGACAGAAAGCCACGTAAATTAAGTGTCCAAAAGCCCTCAACAGCCTGTAGACTGTCCTAGGTAGTTATCTGGCGTCGCATTAGCAATCAGGGTTTAGCGACAAAAAAAAAGTACTTTCCATGGTCTCCACGTCGTCGGTCCACGATGCCCCGTGCGGTCCCCGGATACCGGTGGGTCGTTGGTGTTTGGATCGGAATCTTTTTACCCTATAACTTGGGTTTGATTACCCCATAGAATCTTTTTTTTACCCTATAACAACGTAATCTGCCACAACAAGCTTCCAAACGGGGCCATGGCGAGGGTAGAGATGCCAGGAGTGTGCAGGCAGAGCATGCAGATGCGCCGCCCGCCCATCAGGCACGTCGCTGATAGCCCGTCGACGGTAAACGGTAGCAGCGAAGCGCTTCATTCCGATTGTTCGGGCTGGGACCGCGCGGTGCTGTGACGCCCTTCGATTCGCTCTTCCGTGGCTCTGGGTCCGGTCTCGATGCTGAGCATGATAGCGCGGTGCGCCCCAGCCCGTGACTCCGTGAGGCATGAGGAGCTGGCAAGACAGCACTTGAGATCAATTGATGCTGTTCCGCCCTATCATGCGGCTCCTTCGCCCCTTTATCCAACGTGGACTAGGCTTGGTGTTGGCTGCACACGCGTCGGCTAGCGAGTTTTAGGTCCGTGGTGCCGATGAGATGAGAGATGCGAGATCAAGGTGCCAAATCTGTCGCGAGAATCTCGCAATCTTGCTCATCTGACCGGGCCAAGACGCTCCTGCCCGTTCTCGTCAGTTCTGGTCAGCAAGTCCATCTCCCCGCTCTTGCCTGTTTCGTCGCCAATGTCATGCATGCTCCTGCTGCGTGGTTTTCTGTGAGACTTTTCTCTCACATGTTTTGCCCCTTTCTCTCCCATTTCATTGACCTCGTAAACCCACTGTCCGTGATTTTGTCGTCACAGCCACTTCTTATCGCACCAGGCACCTTGCTGTCGCAGGTCCTCCCACCACCACCTTGGTACGGAGTAGTTCCATTGTACTCCGTGCCCTACTCCGTACACATCCCGAGATAGAAACATCCCTAGCCATGTCTCTGATAACGGCGAGACACACACCACGGCGTACGCCTCCCCGCCTCGTCCCCAGGCATAGAACCACTTCTCACCAACTTCTCGAAATGCGCCGGAGCAAGCATTACCGTCAAATCAAATTTCATCTTGTGGCTGCCCATGAAAACTACTCTTTCAGCATTAGGATCGTCCCCCGCCAATGTCTACAGTGCAATAGATGAAAGCGAAGGCCTGCCACCATACTTTCCCAACGGAGTTTAGAGGTCCCCATCACGCCGGGGCGTGTGACGAAAGAAGACGCTTGGGCAAGCAGAATAGTTTTTCTTCCTGGGAACGGTCCATAAACCAAGGACCAAAACGGTGGGCACCTGGCCAACAGGGCTGTGTGCTATTTTTTGCACAAGACAGACAGGACAGTGCTACGCAACTAGAAAGAAAATTCTTCGCTGCGTCGCCATGACCAAACATCACTTGGCTAGCCGCGTTCACGTATAACGGCCAGCCATGCTCGTCTTCGTTATCTACGGCTTCCGTCCAAAGCAATCAATTAAACGAACAAGAAACACGTCGCGCTCGTATACAGGGAGGCAATCGACCGGTATTTCATATTAATCATACACCCCAAGAGTACAAGGCATGCTGAGAGGTGTATAGATTAGTCCAACAATGGTGCCTCCATCCATGATCCATATCTTCTCCACCATGACACCGTGTACCTTTGAGGACACCACAGATACAGTCCCTAGTCGGCTTCCGGCGGATACATGTACCTTCTTGCAAGCATACGGGCGGTAGCCCGCCCCCAGCCAAAACCTATATCAAGTCCGTCTCCCGCGACTCGTTTGTTTCTATGACCTTGATAAGAAATTTGCTTCCTATGGGTTTGTGGTTGTAATTCCAGCTTTGGCCCGTCTTCAACATTTCGGGATCCTATCAACTGGCCCGTCCATTTTACACACAGAGCATCCTTCCTAGCACTCACCGAGTTACATCCTACAACATGGGTTCTCTCGGTTCTGAGCCAAAGCTCCCTTGGAACAAGACGCCTTGTGTCTTGAGTCCTCAGCTAAGTCGTGTTGCGGGATGGTAGGTCTACGACGATAACGAGGTTCTTGGGGACCAAAATAACATGAGAGGCCTCGCTAACACTAGCCACTTTAGCAACATTTACCTCAAGCTTGACAACCTTCAGCCCAGCGGTTCCTTCAAGTCTCGCGGAATCGGCAATCTCATGACCCGTGCTGTTGCTAACAGTGCGGGCGATGTTCACTTCTACTGCTCCTCTGGTGGCAACGCTGGTCTTGCCTGTGCTACCTCGGCCGTTGCTCTGCAACGCCCTGCCACAATTGTCATCCCATTGACAACGTCGAAGATGATGAAGAATAAGCTTCTAGACCTTGGTGTTGAAGTCCACCAGACTGGCAAGAATTTAGCTGCCGCTGATGAGTACCTCCGGACGGAACTCCTCGCCAAGGATCCCAACGGTGTCTACGTCCCGCCTTTCGACCATCCGCACGTGTGGGATGGCGCCTCTACCATCATTCCCGAATTACGAGAGGAAATGGACGGGCCCATTGATGCTATTGTCTGCAGTGTGGGTGGTGGCGGTTTGTTCAATGGTCTCATGCAAGGCATCGAGAGCTTCCCCTGGTCCGGATCCAAGCCTGAAGTTGTTGGTGTTGAAACTCTTGGTGCTGACAGTATGAATGCCTCGATCAAGGCCAATTCCCACATCACGCTCCCAGAGATCACATCCATTGCCACATCGCTGGGCTGCTCCCGTATCTCCGCTGAGACGTGGAAGTGGTGTCAATATCCCAACACTCACAGTCTGGTTGTCTCGGACGCGGACGCTGCGATCAGCTGCGTCCGGTTTGCCGACGACGCCCGTCACCTTGTTGAAGTGTCTTGTGGAGCTGCGCTCGCCACTGTGTACAAGGGAGATTTGCGGGAGACCCTAGGACGTGGTCTTACTGATGCTGAATTTGCTCAGAAGAACATTGTCATCATCGTGTGCGGCGGCTCCGGCGTCACACTGGGTATTCTCGACCAGTACGTACGTGAGTACGGAAATAAGACCACTATCAAGGTCTAGGTGAATGAAAATGGCGTTATTTGTTTCTTTTGTTCTAGATACGCAAGCGTTTGGTTATTTTTGACATGAAGAACGGGTATCAGTTACCTATTGATAAAGAGCTTAATGAGAAAGAATTTCGCGAGGCGATTGAAACCCTCGGATGTGTACCCTGGAGACTCTACACAGACAGCTGCCGAGGCGACACCAAGGCTCTCCCCACGTGCCAGGCGATAATGGACAGCCTTCCCATCCTCCGGTATTGCGACAAGTTGGCGGCAATCTTTCGGATCACAAGATCATCGCAAAAGGGCAGTAATGGTGTCATGCACCTCTCTGCAGACGGAAAACAGCGGCTTCAAGCTGGACTTTGCACGCTGAAATGGTAGAAGTATGAGAAGGTTGCAGAGAGTTCGGGATGGGGACTGCATGTTCGGGAGAGCACGGAACGAAACAGGATGTAATACATGGTGTGTCTCACAAGGTTTGAATACAAATTTGATCTTGCAGCGATGACACTTGATATTGACGCACACAAATCTTTGTGTTTTTGTGCCTTGGGGGACGAAGGGGGTGGTATCGTGGGCGTTTTGAATTGGCGAACTGGGACGTGAACGACTACATACATGATATACCAACAGGTGCCATAATTTGGCAGCCTACGACATGACCGGACTACTAGACGGCACGAATATAGACACAGAGGCGTCTGGCAGCATAGAAATAGACATATATTAACCCCAGAGCACTCGACCCCGAAGACATTAGATGCCTCACCCCACGGGGAAACTACCTGGTGGAAACAATCTCATGCCCGCAATGGATAACATATCCGGCATGGGCCACTAAGCCCGGCCAGCAGCCGCCGACAACTCTTGTGGCTATGGCGCGTGACGTATGTTCCCATGGATATGCCTCTTAGGGCGGGCGGTGAACATGACATATGTATAGACTGAACATGCCACAGGTCAAACGAGGGGCCCCGCTGCGCCGCGGTCCGGATGCTCGCCCCACGGTGGATTCCGGCATCTGTCTGAAGGCGTCAAGGGCCCAGCCGCGCTGATAACGATACTGACGTCTTGGCAACAGGTGCCGCGCTCAGCTAGCCAACGTTGCTCATCTTATTCGCGCCTCTGTCGCTTCAAATCACTCGTAGCATACTGCCCAGTCTAAGGGTTCCCCGCGGTGCGCTGGCAGAGGTAGATGCCTCTCTCATCGGCGGCGGCCCGCGGACTTGTTCCTGGCCATCTTGGCCTCTTTAATGCCCCTTCTCTCCTCGATGAACTCGCCCATGATTTGCTGCAGGTCGGGGTTCTTGCGCGCCAGAAGGAGCACGTCCTCGGTGGTGATGTTGGTTCGGGAGGCGTGGTTGGCGAAGCTCTCCAGGTCCACGGCTACGTTTTCTGCCGGCGGCGTCAGGTCTTTTCGTTTTGTGGTGAGCACGAGGGGCGGGGCTTTTTTCCCTACCAATTTGTGTCCAGACCATTTCTGTCAGGGCGCCGATGAATTGGGGCGTTGCGTTGCGGTTCCGCCGGAGGCATTCCTCGTCGACGATTTGGCCGACTGCGAACCAGAGGGCTGATTTGAGGCGCTGGGGGTTGTTAATTTGGAGTGTGGGTTGGGGATGAAGGGGGCGTACCTCGCGGTCGTCGTCGGGGGTTGAGGCCATGGTTTGCTGGTGATTGTGAGGATGTGTTTTGCGTGGATGGGCGATGCGCGTTGAGCGAGTGTGACACGTTTGAAGTGGGGCGGTTTTGGTCTTTGGTGTTTGCTGGCTGGTGGTTTGGAAAGTACTTTGCGCATGAATTTTTCGTGTATTTCGTAGTGTGTATATGGGTGTGTGCTTCGCGTTTTGTATTTTTCGGGGCACGTCGTATTTCACGGCGGTTGGGGGGAGGTAACCTTACCAAGACTTTTATGGGAGGAGGATCACTTCTGTCAAGGTGAGACGCGGCTATCATACAGTGGGAGGCGCGCTGGCCTTGGTGAAGGCTCACATCATGGAAGCTTGATAAGACTGGGACGTGCTCTTGGGTAAATGGATGAGCGCTGAGCAACACCATGAAGGACAGACTGACAGTCACTGGGACGGGAAGCCAAACTCCAAGAACGATCAGGGCAACATCGCAGTTCTGGCACTGGAACTAGCACCGCAGTAACTAATAGTGCTAGTAACGACGGCGATGACAATCAACATTGAATCAAGATGGGACAAGATGGTGCCGGTGCGGTGGTCGCTCTCCTGGCTGCCGCATTAGGTGCCGTCTTCACCTTTGTGATTGCCTAGAGGCGGAGAAACGGGCAACGGAGACGCACGGTACGTTCACCGTCTTGCTGCGCTCACCATCGAGTCTCTTCAGCCCGTTTGAGAATTCAACAGGGCTTAGCCATCTTGATATCCAATGCAGCACTTGGCAGCACTGCATCTCCCTTGCACAGTATAGCTCCCTCCCTCATTCCTTGCAAGGTGCATCGTCAACCGGCCTACCCTACATCAAACCACCATGGACATCGTCGTCCCCAAACGCTACCGGACGCACGTTAATACAACTTCCTCTCCCCGTTCTAGACGCTCTCGGCAATAGTGATCTTGAAACAGCCCGCAACCCGTCAAACTTGCTACTCACACCCTATATCGCCACCGAGTGTGCAAGAGTGTGGAAGATGCGCGCCGTTCAAATTCGTGGAACCCCAAAGACGCACCCCGGGTCACTGGTCTGCTCATAGCTTCAGACGGAACTGTCGTCGGCCGTGCCGGGTTCTATGGGAGACTAGACGGCGCTGACATGGTAGAAGTAGGATACTTGATCGACCCAGAGCATTGGCGGCAAGGACACGCCCGTGCTGCCCTTGCCATCATGATTGATATTGCTAAGAATGACCCGAGCGTGGGAACTCTGAGGGCAATGGTGGCGCCGGATGACGTGGCGAGTAAAACCTTTGATTGAGAGTTGTGGGCTTAAAGAGATTCGAGAACAGTGGGACGAGGAGGATGTTTGGAGATAGTTTTTGAGGTTGGCTGTGGTGTGGCCCTTGAGGAAGCGAGGCTGCTGTGAGGTGACTGTTCCTCTGCCAAGAGGGAGAGCGTTCTGATTATCATCAAGACTAACTTCATCCTGATCGCACAGGGTCCTGAACATGCCACCGCGACGCCAGAGCTCAAGTGCAGTACCAGACTGTGAAACAAGCACTGCATCATGACGAAGATTCCATCGTAGCCAATCATGATGTACAGTCTATGGGCGATGCAAACATCAGTCTTGTCATGGAAATTATTGCCACAGTGCACTGCATCCCCTTCATACCCATGGATCAAGTGGCCTCGTCACATACAATTCGAGCAGACTGCGCAAATGCTCTTCAGAAACTCAACCGGTAACAGCGGATTCATAAGGTTATGACTTCGGAAGATGGCTAATACGAGGTGGTGAAAGGGAGACTAACAGCGAAACTATTACCCCAGATATGGTATGACGATCTTCCCGTATAATCAGAATACAATCAAGTGCAACACAAGAGAAAGGAATATCACGAAGAGGCTAGCTGCTGTGTGAATAGGGCTCTATTTGCGTAGTTGCTGAGTTGTAACTATCGTTGCTGTCCTTGCCGAGCCACAGTCAACGATTGGCGGCGACTAACTGAATGTCTCTGTCCCTTTTGCCTCTCCTCGGCAGCTCACTTCTTGGTGCCTGCATTGGCACCGGATCCCGGGTTGTTTTCTCCATGACCAGAGGTGTTTGCCTGGTGCGCACGTTGGTCCCCAGCGGACTGAGCTCTAGCTGCAAAGCCGGAAGAGGACATGTCTCCTCCACTTTTGGCCTGCGTATGGCTTTATTAGAGAGAACTTGGAAATGGTATGTATAAGTGGCACATACCTGGGAGGATTGGACCCTGGAGGAGTCAGACTTGGTCATGGGATTCGGCATTTTGGGAAATGACAAGTTTTCTGTTTCAAAAATGCGTTGAGTAGTTTTTTTTTTTGGGCTTGCGTGTGGTGAGTGTTAACTGTTGAGCGATACCGATTTGTGTTGTTGAGTCTAGAAAGCTGGTCAACCGGCGGGATTATATAGAAAATGTTGATCAGAGGAGAATCAACTGGTTTTGCAGAGTCACTGCTTGCGGTGTGATATTGAAGCAAACGACATCCCAGTGTCGTGTGACGTTGGCGAAGACTGGTTGCCGGTCGCAGAGACAACCTGTGGCCAGCCGCGAATGTCTTGACGCCCTTAGCCGATGTTGTGCAACGGATGGCCTTTTATTCTCCGAAGATGCCATTATTTGAGTACTATCAGTGAGCAAATACCCGAAACTTCAATATGAACTTGTTTGTGGCCACTGTTTGATAGAGTCTTTCCGTTTGAAACAAACGGCCATGGGAAACGACGGTTCAAACGGAAAGACTCCATCTTCATCCGCGGAATCATCCCGGTTTGAGTATGACTTGTGGTAGAAGAAGAAATGATTCAATTGCTTTGGCGAAGAGTGACACCGTTGTCACTGCACTTGGTTATCTTGGTTATCTTGTTTCACAACCGGGACGTGGCTGTCCAAACATAGGTTGATTGCCGCTCCGAACTTCATCGGACGCATGTAAGTCCGGCAGTTCTTCTGCCGATGCAAGATTTGACGTTTGTTTTCTCTTGAGGTAGATCCGCTTCGCTGCAACATAGATTCGGTGAGTCATGACGGGACTGCGCGTGTTTACATGTTTGATATGCATCACCAGAATCGGGTGACGTGAATCGTGACAGTGTGGAATAACACACGAATCACGACGGACCTAGTTTCCTTTCTCGAAAGAAGTCTTGCCTGAGCCTTTATATCAGCCTATAGTAGTCAAGTCTTGGCATTCAAAATGACTGCCTCAAAGAATGTTGACCACGAGGTCGGTCGCCCAGAGGTCGGTGAAGAGGCCTTTAACGAATTTCAGAACCATCAGTGGCATTGAAGAACGTTTTGACATGAGATTTGGCAACTCGCCCCTGCAAGAGGTCTGTGACAATGTCCTTAATGTCCTGAATATTGATGACCATATATACCTGTCAACATTTTATGAATTCGGGTTGTAGGCATTGTCTCTACTATTGGGAGCACCAAAACCAACCAGTTCTTCCCACGAGGTGTCCAAGCGTGACTGTCTCGTCTTAGGTCGCCCATCTTGTTGCTCCTCCCGCATGACGCACTGTCGCGCAGATGCTTTCCATCATGAGGTTCCGGGCATTTGGAAGAGAGACTGTCTTGAACACTAATGTCGTGGACCATCTTATCGACTTAAATAGCCACTCTGTTCGCCACCAGGACTTGAACACTATCGCTAGAAGCTGCGGGCCTTGGAAATCTGTCCTGGATTTAGCAAATTAAAGGTGGTACGTATCACGATGTTTATTGCTGTGGCGTTGAGTGTTGCAACTTGCGAGAGCCGCGCGACCGCCCTTCTGTTGGCTCGGACCGGACCGGCAGAAGGTGCTTCCGGGGACACTGCTCGGTAAGGCTAGAAGCCTAGAACTCAGCAACCCCCAAAATGTTCAAATCCAGCAACTCTTCAATACGCTCGAATTCATCGGCGGCAGTACCTTGAGATGCCCACATCCAAAAGGTTCAAATCCAATAGCTTCGACATGCCTGAATCCATCAGCAGCAGTAGCAGCTTGAAGGGCTTGAAATCAACGGCTTCAACGAGCTCGAATTCAGCAGCTCTGATTGTATCCATGGCAAAAGCATCACGTTCCCATTGGACCTACAAATGCAGTAGGAGGTGGGAAGCTTCACTTTGGGCCAATCCCCACGCGAATTGTCTTGTTTGAGTGGGATTCAGAGTCCAAAACTTCATCCCAAATGCGGGTGAGCTGAGGTGTGGCGGCACCGAACAGCCCGAATATTAATCGCCTGCCGCCTTGACCGAAAATACCAGACTGTTTCATTTGGTAAGCAAAAGTCCCTAAGCTACAGCCTCATTACTCTCAAGTTGGGCACATCTCTTCGATAACTGTACGACGTTGGGCGTATTTTGACAAGCCAACTCTCGCAGACTCCCGCATGGTGGCTTGGACTCCGTCGAATAGGGTCGCATATTATCATCGCCGATGACGGCGACACTGTTGCCCAGCAATTTGATGGATAGCACGATGCGGTAGGAAATGAGCTGGCCAGATTGTTACCTCCTGGCAGGGCATGGAACCAGACTTGACACTTTTCGCGCCTTCCTCTTACTGACCTCAGTAACTGCTTTGACAAGTTTTTCTCCAGCCACTTTCTTGGGCTCACTGCGATAGAAACCGTATCCAACTTCCTGCTAGCTTTAAAGCAAGAAATTTGACTTCGTATGCCATCTTTCGCTGCGGCTTGATCCGCTATGAGCATTATTTCTTTCAACAAACAGGATGTCGGCCGCCTGGAAGTTTGCCCTACTAATTGTAATCACGTTTGCAGCGACAAGCGCTGCTGATTCTGGGGATGACTTCTCTAACAACTTGTTTTCAGACCTAGCGCCGTACGTATTAGTCTAGTCTATCCTATTTCGTTGACCGTATGCTAATAATTTATTATGCCTAGGCTGCTAGCTGTTTTCCGGGAACGGGTCACCATGCAATTCATGGGCCAATCGACTGGTTGGGCTGATAATATTATCCTAGCAATGGCTCCCTTAGGAATAATTACTATTATTATTAGTGCTATTAGAGTTGGCGGCCCTTCATGGCTTAAAGCTATTATTGGAAGAGCTAGGGAGAAATTCGCGGTTGCTGAAGCGGAACTAATGTCATCTACTTCTCATGAGATCTGTGAGCTGTGGAATGGCCAAGAGGTGGTGAGGTGTACGGGATCGCCGTCGACGACTGAGTTCATATGCCTGAGGCCTACGGACATGAATTGCACTGAAAGGAGTGCTAATCAGGATCTGGATATACTCGAGCTGGACGTCGCACTCGATAAAGGGTATCTTAAGGAGCTACGTTAGTGAAATTTCTCGCCTAGAATGCACCCAGGCTTACCTTTCTTCCAGCATTGAATGACTGGACTAGCTTCTGGAAGGCTATCCTAGACAGCATTGGTCGCAGGCATGCGAAGCACGAGTTGGTTAGCTTAGAGGTAGAGAAAGGGTCAAATTCCCAGACATCCAGTACCATACCGGTTCCTAAGCTTACCATTGTACGGAATAAAGCTGCTACTGCGCCAAACATATCTCTGAATTCCCATGGCCACTTTGGCCGGGGAGAATTACGCGCGGTAGCCGTTTCAGGGATTATCCTTCAGCTAGGTATCTTAACCTGTTCTGGGTTTGCCACCTACTATCCGGCGCTAAAGTTTACCAAGGGCGACAATGCAATTGCAAATTATACGTTTCCTTGCTAGAACGATTACAATGATGGCTAGCCTACTATTGTGTGCGCATGTTGTGGAGAGCAGCACCTAGGAGAAAAGATATCAGCCATCTAAAGGAACGAAAGCTCGGTTGGTTTGGCTATAACGGACCCAAACCGTGGGCGACCAGTCTTTCCAGTCTTTTGCATTATCGGCCGGGGACGATCAAACTCTCATTACAACGTCCTGCCGGGTGGATAAAAAGAGCCAAGCTATTAATTTGGAGCTGAAAACTAAGTTATTGTTGGCACCGCGGTCAGCCTATGCGGGTTTGTGGTGCAATTTATCGGCTTGCGTGGAATGCATTGGTCCGCCTCAGTTGTTCAACTCGGCGCAGTCATCGCGATGGGCGCTCTTAGGGCGCAGGTCCGTCGTGGACTCGCGCAGCCTCTTCAACAGGTCCCTCTGACTCCGGAACATGAGCTTGAATGGTTTGCGATGGCATTGGGAGATTTTGACGGAATACCCTGGCAACCTGACAGAAGTCCCAAGGAATACAAAGGAAAAAGACAGGCGGCCCGCGCAGGTGTCAACTCGATGAAGAATAGTGGAAGTAACCCGACAACATACAATATGATGGTAACGAGGAGAACACTCTGTGAGCTCGCTGGCTGGCAGGGACCAGCATCCGCAGAGGCTCTGACCCTTGCAAGGGCGATCAAGATCACAATGGATGCTCTATCTAGTTATCTTCCTCCCGAAGGTGACTTCACCTGGTCCCTTGGAGCCCTTTCAGCGGGACAGAAGGATAAGACACCCGAGTTTTATTGGACGCGAGACGTAACCGTAGACACACTTCGGAAGGACATCGAGGCAGTGCTATCTTTACGGTTATATTCCGTCTACTCCCAGAAGCAGCAATCTGAACATGAGTCAAAATCTATCCAAACTCAACCTCGCAAGTATAATGCGCAGCTGCGCGCTAGAGAAATGCCTCCAGAGCGAGGTTTGCGCCTTCTAGGTCCAGGGACACGGGCCCATCAGCGGGATCTCGCGTGGTGGATGCCTCCTGATACAGCAAGAATCTTGGACATTAAAGAAGATAGGAACGGTACGATGGTGGTTGAAAACCATAGGATTGTTGGCTATGAGGGACAGCAGGTAGGAGGAAACGATAGGAAAGCCTCCTGCACCACCAGTACATCTCAGCAGGAGTCCGTGTAGCTCGATACAATGCCACAGAAGCCATTCTTAGCCCGGACGATACATGTGATTGCGAAATTGGAGAGAGCGCGCTCTTGGCGTCGGAGTCGTATGACTCCTTAGAGCTACTCTATGCCCAGGATCTGTTTGCGAAATTCATGCAATCTGTGGCAGAGAAAATGACGCGAGCCATCGAGGGCGGCTCTAACGTGCGGCCCAAAGACTCTAGTAACATGGATGCCTGGAAATGCTTCACACTCCACAACGATCGGCTGTCAAAATTGGCCGAGGACATCCATAACTCTGGACTTGGAAATATTCATCGGAGCTATCTAAGCATTATTCAACCACTAAGCGCAGAACAGAAGCTTCCCAAACCCGATAACGTTATTGCACTGGCGCGAAAACATGCCAAGCCACACGAGCGACTTCAACATTTCGAAGAGGCTGTCGACATATACTTGTGGCTTTTTAGAACGGCAAAGACATTTCCAAGGGAGAGTAGCATCCTTGCAAAGGCTATAGCCATATTAATGGAGAATTTAAGGACGGTCGCTCTAACTACGAAATTAAGGGAGGCTCAACAGTACTCGGTTTATCGAGTTGAGGCGATTAGAGCGGCGAAGACAAAATTGGAAAAGGAATTAAAACAAGTTGATAGAACGGTGCTATCATGCCTCATGAGCTTGTACAAAGGACAGAGACGCCAATGGGAATGCGATATTTTACAGGATGCTGGCCCTACTATGGATGGACAGACTAGTTATCCAGAAACGTTCAACCACACACCATTGCATCAGAAGTGCCAGATGGATCGAGATATAAATGAAGAGTTGGCAGCTCTAAAAACTCGAGACATAAATCAGAAAGACATTCATGACTGGACACCCCTCCATTACGCCGCAGCCAATTCTTCTTCCCTTCTGGTCGAAGATTTGCTGGCGTTTCGAGCGGATGCTAATGCGCGAGATCCCCTAGACTGGACTCCATTACACTACGCCTGTAATGCTCCTAGTGATGGGTTAGCTGTGCGGTTTCTCCTTAAGGACGGGCGATCGCAAGTGAACGCCCAAAGCATAGATGGAGTAGCTCCGCTGCACTGTGCCGCTATGAATGGAGATATCAGGGCGGTAGAAATTCTAGTTCAGGCAGGAGCAGCTCTCGATATCCAGGACGCGTCAGGAAATACGGCGCTACACTGGGCTGCATTCAAGGGCCACGGAGATATCGTCAAATATCTTTATGAGGACTCGAATAAAAAGCTGCGAGATAATAACCGCCGGACTGCCTTGCGCCTAGCAGCGATGGCGGGAATGGAGAATGTAGTACGCTTGCTCGTTCCATGTCCCGACAAGCAGACTGTTGCCGACATGGACGCCTTTGACTACGCTGAATATCAGCCGCTGCACTGGGCCGCCATGTGTGGGCACGAGGCCATCGTGCGCTATCTCGTAAATGAGGCGAGCTTTGATAAGGACGCCGCGACTCCCTGGGGCCATACGACGCCGCACTTGGCCGCTAGCCAAGGGCAAGAAGACATCGTGCGGTATCTAGTCGACGAGGCAGGCGCTAATAAGGAGGCTAGGGATACCGACAACAAAACACCGGCACAAATCGCCGCTGAGGAGGGGTATGAGGTTATTGTGCGAATACTTGAATAAGATGAAAAAGGCAATGTAAGGAGCAAATTGAAGTCGTGGACTCAACTAGAAATATTGCTTCTTGCTGAGATTAACAAGCACCCCAGCCACTTGGAAGCAAAAAGCGTCTTATCGACTTCGCGATATGGTCTGGTGAAGGGTCAGTTGCTTGCTAATTTAAGACGAGCTCACACGGCGCACCTTGTTGGATGTTGTGGACATGCCCACTCTTGGTCACGAGGGTTTCTACCGCAGGGGGGGGATGGAAGTGAGCATCAAGATGCCATTATTTCATGCATTTGTGCGGTTGACTGGGACCAAGAGCTTACGTGGATGGACCAGGTTGATCTTAAGATGGTTAAATATTTAGGTGTGGTCCAAAGTTGCTCTAGAGCAACATGGATGAGTCGCCCACTAGTTCAAGGATGAATGTCATGTTGTGTACACGGCTTGATGGATGGGCAAGGTGTAGAGTATTCATAATGTGTGGCAAGATGTTGTTCTTTTACGATGTCCCCATGTCTGCACGTCTTGGCAGTTTCAACACCACCAACGCACTCAACACGACGAAGAGTCGATGGTACAGCACAAGCGACCTCAGCACCATTGTCGACCACAGCGTCCGACTCAAATAAGAGACCCCGTGCCACGGCATCAACATAAGCAGAATAATTACGACTTGTCGAAAACAATGATTCGGATTCCTACCGTATCTTCTAAAGTTCACTCAAACAAAATACGCCATAGAGACGGTCTGCTAGAATTTCTGTCTGATCACCTCCATACAACCCATTCTACATACTCAACGACAAAACATCAGCGAGCCAGTCTTTCAACTACCGACCCTGCTCCGTCTCCTCCCTATCCCCAACAAAAATATTATGAACGGGAGCCACGTGGGCTTCCCGCATACCAAATAAACAACTCAAACTTGCAACACAAGACACGACCGACTCACCTTGACCTTTTCCACAAAGGCTTCTATAATCGGCCTCAGCACCTCATTCCCGCCACCCAAGACCAGCATCTTCTTCACAGGAAGCGACTCGAACCAACTCGGCGGCGCATCATACGGTTCCGTGTAGAAATCCCTCTTGGAACCATCAAGATACATGTGCAGCCACCGAAGCGCAACATCCGGCACCTGTCGCCGCCGCAGTAAACTTCCTGCCCCTCCGCAACCTTCTCATCCATCGAAGGAGGCGGTGCCATGAGGACCGTCCCGGCCAGCAGCTCGCGCAGCTTCAGCGCACGAATCGCCGGGTGCGGATGCGCCAGATGCGAAAGTACACCCATCCCCAAACTGGCGCCGGCAGAGTCGCCCCCCAGCAGAATAGACCCGGGCCGGCGCCCCTGAGAAACAACATACCGCAGCGCCTCGACTGCCTGAGTAAGTTGCGTCGGGTATCTGGCGTGCGGCGAAAGCGTCTACGACAGTGCAAAGACAGCCAGGTCCTTGTTCTTGGTGCGCGCAGACACAATCAGCTTCTCCCAGAACTCGAAGAAGGTGATATTCGCAGCCATTCCGAACCCGCCCCCCGGTATACGCCAGACAAGCTCACATGGAAAAGCTCGGCACGTACCGTGGTACCAAATCAGCACGTTTTTGGCATTTTTATCCCCCACCCGGTGTCCCTTGGCGCCGTGTCCCAAGACCACCGTCTGGGGCTTGATTCTCGCAGATCGCGCGTATTGTTCATACACCTGGTCCGTTGATGGCAGATTCCACTGCAGCTGAGCCAGCGAGTATCGTTCTGTGCTTTTGCGCAGAAGCGCATACGCCGCGTGGACGTAGTACGCGGGCGCGTCCCTTTCTGTTCGCCAGAGCCCCGTGGTGGCGGCTACGAAGCCGGCGGCGAGGAGGGAGAGCACGCCGGGGATGAGATCTAGCTTGCCGGCGAGCGAGAGTGGTTCTGGCGGCGCTTTCGGCGACATGTCTGGGATTTGCTGCTTTTGTTTCTGTATTTTGCCGGGCCGGAAACGACAATGGCTTGGGGGACGGAGAAGCAGACGCTTATTTGTACATCATTTCGAACGAGATGTGATGTTCTTCACTCGTTGGGTACCTAGGCAGTCTAGATTCTGGCTGTCGGACACGGAGGTACGAGACGGCTGGGTTGGGGGACTCGCCGGGCTAGCACTAGTTCCCCCAGGTTTGTCACTAGCGTTGACTTTTTATCCCGGCAGGCTGCTGTTTTCGATTGGGCAGCCGCATGACACCGACGGCCGGTGGTCGACAAAGGGAGCCGGAGGATTGACGCTGCCGGACCGGAGCCGAGACATCGACTCCGAGTGTTGGTCTGCTGTGGCCGAGGGTGGATTCACGAGAAATAGAACAGCTCTTCACAGGGTTACGCAGCCTCTGCCTGCAATAGTATGCCAAAGACTCTATCCGGGCTTGTTTATGGTTTCCCAATTCTGCAATAAGGAATTGCCGCCTATACTACTCTACAACACACTCGCCCTACAGCACAAAGTGTCTCTTCTTGCCCACGACAGTCCCGTTATTCGAATTGGTATAGAACGTCACGGAATCAGTCGAATTCTTGTACGTGTTGCCGCAAACACCAGAGTAATTCCGAAACATGTCTGCGCGCTGCTGCAGGAACGCTGGCAGCTCTTTCGCCGAGCAGCTCTGCCCCGGACCGTCAAAGCAACCCGGCAAGACTTGGGGGCTCCGGTTGAGCAGGACGCGGTAGTATGTGGTCGCGGAGGGAGACGAGCTGATGTTCTTGGTCTGGGCGGCAGCGACGGCATGGTTTGCGCTGCAGTTCATGCGCTCAATGGCAATGTTGGTCAGGAAGGGGAGGATGCGGCTCGAGACCCAGGCACGATTGTAGTTGATCTGGTCCAGGGGCATGGTGGCGTTGACGTCGTTGCCGCCGGAGAAGAGGCTGTTGTTGAACAGGCCCATGGCGACCAGGGCCGCGGGCGGAAGCTCGCGGTGCGTGAAGGAGACGTACAGATCCTGGGCGGACGCATCGGCCGCCAGGAGGTTCAGCGTGGCGTTGACCCACGGGAAGCCGATGGCACCGGCGTAGGGGCTGCCGTAGCCGGTGTTGTAGTGGTACTGGATGTCCTGGCCGTACTCGAACTGCAGCCACTCGTCTGGGGAGAAGAGGTCTGTCGAGCAAAAGGGCGAAGACCCGCGAATGACGGTGTCGTAGCCGCATATGGCCTGCATGGCCGTGACGTCGTCGGACGTGAAGTTGAAGCCTGGGGCCAGTCGCTTGAGCCGCGTGATGATGGGCGCCGTGTACAAATCAATGTATCTGCGCTGTTGCTTGGATCCTGCGTCGGCGGCGTAGCCCTTGCAGCTCTTGTACGGTGTCAGGCTGTCCGCCCCGTCCTCCTTGCCCTCTGGGATCTCAACCACGTTGATGGTGTTGTCGTCCATCTCCAGACCTCGGACGAAGCCCCTGGCGCTCTGTACCGTGCGTTCTGCGGTTGAAGTCCACACCCTCTGCGGTAGCTTGAGCCTCGGGTACCGGTACGAGATGGAGAGTCCAAGTTGGCCGGCCTCGACCTTGCCGGTCCTCGTCAACAGCTCCTGCTCGCCAAAGGACGGAGGCTCCCACGCGGCCAAGAAGGAGAGCTGGGGTATTTTGGCCCAGTCGACTGTCGCGTTGCCTAGCTTGTAGAGAAAGGGCTGCAGGTACTGCTCGTAGTCGAAATCGTTTGCATTGATGGCTGCGTGCCGCACAAGGTATGCCGCTCGCGTTACCGTGCAGCCTTGGGGAGGGTTTGGGTCGCGCGGAGGATCTGCTGGTTCGTAATAGGGAGCAATTCCTGCGAGATGCTCGAGGGGGTTGAAGGAATATGACGAGTAGAGAGGAGTCTGAAGCTGCATGGCCCCGACGCCAATCGCAGCGGAAGCAAGGGAGTGAAACGAAGTCGCCCTCATCGTGACGACTGTGAAACGCAATTGTATCTGATGCCCGGGGTCTCTTTTCGGCGTATAATGTTGCCTCTGTGAGCGACAGGCTGTAGATGTGTGAGAAGGGACCAGCCAAAGTGCTCAGGCAGATTCCAAGCTGACGACCAGTTGAGGCTCAAATAAGTTTTCCAGGTCAAAAAACTTGTAAAAGAAAAAAAAAAATTGGCTGGCCTCGTGGCTCTTGAAAGATAGCATTATACAAAGATCTGTGCCGCAGCGAGGCTGATGGCCAAGAACAAAAGCATGGCGGAATAAAAGGCGCTAGGTCGAGTATACCATTGTTGCACATACGTCACACACGAGCTGTTTCGGGTTACATGTTGGAAGAAAGCGGCCATGATTGTTCTTCAGCGCGTGAATGCCCTAAGCGGTCCACGGACCGGCAGGTACGTCATTGATGTGCAACATGTCGATTCCAAGACGTCGGCAAGCTGGCGTTGTCCAGGCTAATGATGCTAATGAGAAGGGACCGAGAATTACCTAGTTGGCTCCCCACTTGACCCCCACTCTTGGGGCCGTAAATTTTCGAGCTCGGATATGAGGAAGGCGCGAGCGCATCATCCATTTAATTAGTTGACGGGATCCCTTCAATATTGTGTCTGCCAGAAGTCGCCGATGAAGCCAGCTACTTCCGACGCCCTCTCCCTCACCACAGCGTGTCCAATATCCGGAACGACGGCAATATTCGCAGAGTCGATGGACCAGACTGGCATCGTGAGGGACGAGAGGCGTCTCGCTCAGTCCGTGACCCCATCGATCGAGGAGCACGAAATGGGCATGCGGGAAGCATCTCTGCAAAAGGCGCGCTAGCGGGAGCATGCCCATAGCCCGTGTTTGCACGCCGTGGACGAGGAGCACGCGATCGGGCACGCTTGCGCTGGTTCCCGGAGAGGAAGGGCGAATCTCGTAGGAGGCGGCCTTGCCCTCGGCCGTAGTCACATACCTGGCAGGTGGAAGAAGATGGCCAAATGCCGACGCGAATGCTGCCTCGGTCGGGCCTCGGATGGTGGTCTTGCTGGGATGCGCTGTGGATGAGAACGTTTCTGTGGGCTTCATCATCATTGACGTTTGACGTCGCCCCGCTGGTGGCATCATGTCTTGATCGAAATGGCACCAGACCTCAAATCGAAATGCTAGGACCAACTTGGACAAAGCCCTGCCAACGGCGGCACCAGGCGTGAACTTTTCAACCGCTAGTCCAACTCTGCTGCTGAGGACGCTCCAACATCCCCTCGCCCGTTCTGGCAGAACCATTCATGATTGAAACTCTGACATGCCATGTGAATGCTCATGGGAATGCCCAATGCCTTCGTAGTGAAGCGGAGCTACTGGTCAACATCTCTTTCAGCCGACTCCGTCGTCTAGCCCAATGACACTACCGCCAAGGGCAACTCGTGCAATAATGTTGATATGCTCGGCTGCATATTTAGCCATGGCAAGCTCGTTCTTGACACTGCTCCGTCCGGCTGCGTCAGCAGTGGCCGAGGTGCCGCGGACGTTCACGGAGACGGGCAGCATACAGGCCACGGATCTTGTACTTGAGTTCCTTGTCGACTGGAAACGCTGCGCAAGGAGAAGAATCACCCTCTACTAGTGCCAAGGGTTGGACGTAGCGGCGATAATTGGTATAATGGTGAGGGGCGGGTTATTGTTAGGATTTTGATACTTGTCGGGTTTGCACGGAAGCGTTGTCGACGGAATAAGGACTTGGAGATGCAAAGAAGTCGGGCGGTTTGTTCGAGTCCCGGCTGGTATTGTTTTGTAACGTCCTAGACGGCTTGGATCGACAGCAGCGGTCGAATGGCGTGCCATCATTTCCACCTCCTCCATTCTATAAATAGGCACGACGCGGCATCATGAAATTCGGGTGATACATTTATACATCTGGAACTTTATATCCCCATACTGAGGTGTAGGGTAGTGGTGCTGGGGCCTTGGTTATGGGACTCATACACGCGTAAGGCTGTGGCAGAATATACTTGCCAAGCAAGGAGTATACACTAATATTGTAGCGTATTGTAATATCGGGCGCCATAGATTGATACCTTGCCTGGTCAAATACTTTTTGCATCGCACTGCACCTGGTCGGTATACTCTAGATTTCATGCAAGTACTGCGACATTGACTTGTGCCCAATTCCTTGAATCGACCCATCGCGCTTCAAAAGAACAATTCGCTAATGCGATCCAGCCTCAGGTGACGACACTTGTCTTTTGGCCGCAGCCGTGATTATTTAGTTACCAGGGTCCAGGGGACAGCCCTGCTGCTACGGTATCGACCCGTCAAGCATTGACCTACATGTGCCGCCCACCCCAGCCTGACTGTGCAGGACCGTTGCATGCAGGGAGCACTGACTACAGTTTTTTTTTAAAAGAAATCACGGTCTTCAAATTGACGGCGATGAAAAAAAAAAAATAAAAAAAAATAAAAAAGATAGAATAAAAAGTCAAAAACATACAACACTGGGGATTCGCTGGTCGTCACCGACCCAACTACTGATCCAGCGCTCGCTAGGTTATCGTACGAGATCGGACGGGATCGTGAGTTCTACTAGCGGCTGTGGTCGTATGTGACTGATCAGGCTCTATCTTACCTTATATACATACAGATTTAAGGTACGGAGGGGTAAAAAAGAAACATACAACACCGGGTATTCGCTGGTCGTCACCGACCCAACTACTGATTCAGCGCTCGCTAGGTTATCGTACGAGATCGGACGGGATCGTGAGTTCTACTAGCGGCTATGGTCGTATGTGGTAGACAGTCGGACTTATTCTCTTCATAAAAGGTAGTGGTAATACACATATAACTTTAGCAAATTCTATTCACCAATAATCATACCTACCTACCTACCTACGCGCGCGCCCCTGATTCTGGTGACAGCACAACTATCACAAGACAGGTCCTAATAAAGCCTAATGTATTGAGTAAAAAATTTCTGATTGGCTGTTTTGTCATAGATGATAACCAGAGGACAGTCCCCAGAAAACCCCTTGGCGCGCTATGGCAGGTACCTAGGTAGGTGAACTGAAGTATGCAAGCTACTAGAATGTAGTGGCAGGATCTGCCAATTTGAAACTAGCCAACGTGCAACTTGCCGGCAATGGTTTCCAACCAGACTTTCCCATTGCCCAACCTGGTCTGCATTTTCAATGAGACTGGTGAGCAGTTTCTCTCTCGCCGCCGCATGTTGGTATGGGTCAGTGCATTGCATGCGGCCAATGCAATGCTCGCTCTGGATTTGGAAGCCAAACCCGGTAAACATGTCGGAGCTGCGCGAGCCCGCATACAAGCAGTCGAGAAGAGGTCAAGTTGAGATGCAGGATCTGGTGCAGGAAGACGTCCTTGAGCTCGAAGCTACCCAATGCGCAATACACCTCTGGAGCGATAGCGCCGAGGCCGCACTGGGGAGGGACCATGGTTGCGAGCTTGGCCAAGGTCTGGGTACATACAGACTTCGTCGACCCCGTTGAAATAGTCTCAGAAAAGGCGTCCACGTGGTGGCTCTGCACTCTGCCGTGGTGTGAGACTACCCGGCATAGTAGCGACGTTGCGCCCAGCAATGGCATGCGCCGGAGACGTCTTCTTGTCAGCGATATTGACGAGCTCTACAAGTCCTCCCCCCTGATGAACTGGTGCCTGGGGTCAGCTTTTCGGACACGACCCCCGTACCGGTCTAGCATGCCCCGTCACGCATGGCAGAGTTTGTTGTTGGTCGTTCTGAAGCCGGCCTACCAGAGCAGGACACGGGCGATGTGATAAGGGCTTGGAGCGGAAAGACTATTTTCAATAATAGTCTTGTAGGATGTCAAAGGTCCTTGATTTCCATAAGAAAAAAAGGGGACGAGTGACCATTATATATGCATGAAAAGAACAGCTGTGCCCAAGGCTCCCAGCGGGTCATGTGTTTAGTCTGTGTAACATTTAGGTCCTGTACCGGCGATGCCCCTTTTTTGGGCGGGGAGGATGTTTAGCTTTGGCCGTGTAACAGGCGAGGTTCTACGAGAAATAGACATTAAAATTGATAATATCTACGACGGAGACCTGGGCAACGGCAGGGCAATTGCAACGGCCGAGATTCGGGCTCAAGCCAAGGCTGAATGGGACGGTCCGATGTTCGAGGTGACAACCAGTGGTGTCACCGTTATCTGACTTGATATCTTAACGAGTATTACCCTAAGATCAAGGATGATCCTGAGCTTACTCCCCCAACAGAGATTAAACTTCGCTGCGTCCGTTCAACCAAAGGTGTCAAGGATAACTGTAACTATTGCACCTATCAAGGTGGTCTCTGCATTCGCGTGAATATCGGTCGCAGTTGGTTTCAATCCGGGTTCGCCGTTTGGGATCAGATGCTGTAATAATAGAGCTTTCGAGACGGCGTCTTTTAGGGCGTGAAACGCCTCGGTTTCCTCTTGGTTACGATATTCTTGGGGAAGGAGCAAGCTTCTTATCGGATCTTTGGCCACTCCTGTACACATTACTTCTTTCCCCCCTCGAGACCAGAAAAATAAACAACTCTCTCACACACGCACACACGCACAGACACTGACCTTTTTTTTAGACGACGAAGACGAAGACGACGATGACGACGATGGCACCAGTGGTGCAGAATCAGCCTGGTGGCTGGCCTGGCCTGCTACTGGCGGGTCCTTGACCGCCGCCGCGCCGCCGCTGCCCGGGCCGTCAAGGCCGCTGACGAGGAGGCCGGTGGCACCACCACGGCTGTTGTGGCCCCGCCAGCGCGTGGTGGGGGGTCCTAGATTGAATCTAACTATCTATCGAGGAAATTGAGGCCTTTTATATAGTTTAAATTAGAAGACATCTAAAAGGCCACCATTCAATGGAAAGGGCCCTCCTTGAAGGTTCTCAGCTAGCTAGCCAAGCAGGACTTCCTAGATTACGTGGCGCAGGATAACGTATCCGTTGACACAATCGTCCTTGTCCGGCAATACACGAGCAAATGGAAATCTCAAAGGTGCTGACATGGGTGTCTGGGATTGCAACATGATAACGAGTCTACTCGAATATGTAACAAAACTCGATGGACCACTGGACCGTGACTGATCTCCAGCTATACTTCACTGTCGTCCCAATTATGTCCCAGACAACGGGCAAACCCAAAGATCCAAGATCCTGACCCAGTGATATCACCGCTCCTGTCAATGTCCATTTTTTGTCCACCTCAAAACCAAGGTCCCACAGCGCCGAACGGGCTAATCAACAAATCTAATAGAAGGGCTTATTAGGAAAGGACAAAAGGACATGTTGATGGAATGCTTCGTGGCGTTCCTGCTTCTAGCAGCTTGTCGTTATTTACCAAACTTAACCTTGAAGGCTCATACACTTTCCTAGTAAGATTTAGCATTGGTATTAAGAGTAACCGTCGCACAATTAGCAGCACACTTAAGCTGTCTTCAACTGAAATGTATAATGTGCTAACTGTTCCACAGGAGACGTACAGCAATAATCAACATCTTATTAACCCTATCCACATCAGCTAGTTTATGCTTAACAAGTACTACTTTTAAGACCAATAAAACGCCGGTGCATTCCGCGGCGCTACTTCTCCACCCGTCAAAGCGATTAAAATACCTCCGGCAGAATTAAGTGCGATAATTGGCATAATGGTGCAATCGATAAAGCCAGGCAGATTTAGGCTCAGTACAGAAATCTTCCAGTTACTAGTACTCTAAGGCGGCCGCCGGAGACGCAGATAACGGCGTATAACAAGCTCGCGCAATCGCTCGATATAACGGAGGCGAGTAATGACAAGGATAACCTAGAGAAGTTTATTACCGGCTCTCCATGCAAGATGACAGCAAGTCCCCTTAAGTAGTAGACCAGAGAGGAGCAAAGGGTAGAGTATCCCCGGCTGCATAAAATCGCTATCAACGTACTTTCAATTGCGCCTATATCGGATAAGGCTAAACGTGTCTTTCTAGGTACGCGGCGTACTATGTTGTATAATCGTGCACGCCTCAGGACAGAAACTATTGCGATGACGGAGTGTCTTGGAAGCTAGAACAAGAACGACCTTCTCCGGAAGGTGCATGTAGTTCAAGACAATAACAATTCAGAATGAGAACAATAGAAACGACAGTGATGTCATCTTGTTCCTATGCAGCTCTTTATAGAGTTCTTGCTCCTTGGATGATTCTTAGTTAAGACGAGTGGCACTATCGGTGCCGTCGTACTTGATAAGGTTGGATCTAAGACACGATGACAACTGCTGTCGCAGCGCTAGCACAATGACGTCGTGTCTTGGCACTTGGTGATGAGCTAATCATCAGTATCAGTAACATACTATATCAATCAATCAGTATCAGTACCGGCCTTATCAATCAGTACTGCTTGTTGAGAAGTCTGAGTGCAGGACCAGCGGCAACTAATCCAAAAGCCACACAAAGCTACGTGTAGCCAGACTTTCACGACATCGTATGGATTACCATGTTCCCATACGCTGCAGCAGCTGGAAGATCAGAGGCAGAGTTTCTTACTTGAGCATTTCCATCCTCATTGGCATTTGAAACGTGATGTGGCTCAGCCGCCCCCTATTTTGGAACCACGGCTACCGACAAACCAGCCCAAACAGAAATGCGACGAGCACACGCCGCGAGCCATGTGAATTCGAGAACGATCAGCTTATGCAGGTGGCACCAAAGCCTGCTCCAACCACTGCCAATACTCCTTGACGCACCATTTTGCAATGATGCGTATTGCGTAGTAAATTGCGTAGCATCCGTATAGTTTGTCCGATGAGCCGATGTCAATTCGCCCATACATGACCTAAAAGACAAGGGTTAGCTTGAAAGCAACATGACCAAATGAGTCGAATTCGGTATACAGTTTGGCTTCCCGTTCTGTCCGCAAAATCAACGGACCACCTAGCTCCGTGTATAAGTATTGTAGGAATGATTGGAAGAGGTCTATGCCCCGCATTCGGCAGCGAAGCCAGGTGTCGGAATTGGCCGCGCACGAAGGATGCGCTCTGTGCGCCGCTCAGTGTGGCCCCATCTCCATCACCGCTTTTGGTTTCAATGCCAACCGCAGGGGGAGTGCTAGCCTCGTCACTGAATTGCATGTGGGCCGCCCGGTTCGTTTGCGGATTGAGCTGTCGGTAACGTCGCAGCAATTCAGCGAGGGGTGAATCATCCGGCGGGTCGAGGCAGAGCGCGTAGTCGGATCTGGTGTCGGCAAGTAGAGGGTCGGGATCCCGCAGTTCCCTATAGACACCGCATTGAGTACTGCAGTAGTTTCAGTAAGCCGCGTCCATTATTAGATGCGAAGTGTTTTAGGAACGTACACGTTACGACAGCAAACACCGGCGCAGGCATCATTGTCAAGAGCTAGTTCCAGTAGTGCCCAGTGAATAGCTTCGTTCCAGCCTACCTCGTAATCCATACGTTCGGTCCGTTCTATAGTGTTGTCTCGAATCTTCTTTATACGCCGGTAGATATACACATCGTCCTCTTCCTTGTGGTTTGCAAATGAGGATGGCCTGTTCTCTCCGACGCGGCTTGCACCGGGGTGCGCATCGCCATAAAACCAGCTATCGTGCGGTGGGTTCGCCCACCCGGAATCTTTGATGATGCGGTCCTTCCAAGTTCATCAAAAAGACAACCTTTGTCAACCTCTCGAGGGGTTTGTGCATACCTTCATTGAAACAGGGATAAGGCGCATGCTGCGTACTTTGGCAAGCTCCTGCATCAGCAGTGTAGGCTTCTGTACGGATGATATGTCCTCTCGGTGAATTGGAAAACATCTCGCCATCCGCAATGCTATCTCTCTCTTTTTGGGGCTCACCGAGCGTTTCGTAGGCGAGTGTCGAGTCGAACTTGTTGTCGAAACAATATCCGATTGCGAATCTCCATGGCTGATCTCAGAACATTCACCAACTTGAAGAAATGATCAGTAGAGCGAAATAAAGCGGTCAAAAGAAAAATTACACACCTGGCTTGGTTGGGGTCAAGTCGGTATCTGGCGCCCACGGACGCTTGGAGGGTGTGAGTGGCATGTCCGCCACTTCATAAATCTCAGATGGCGGTTCAATCTGTGAAGCCCAGTCGAGTATGCTTACCCCCATATTCGCACTTGAAGGTGCAAACGCAGCGTTTGGGGAAACAGGTTTAATGGTTCAATGGCATAGAAAATGGATTCGTTTGTTCCTGGTGGAAGGAAGTACTCGTGCCACGCCCCACTATTAGGTAATTCAGCTACAGAAGCTCTCACCACCTTTGGTGGTGCTTATTAGCAAGGCGGGCACATTAGTAAGGCGGGTAGGTTAGGGTTATAATATGTAAATATTTAAATATTTAAATAAATATATTATATTTAAATATATATAAAATTTAATAAATTAATAAATATTAGTATTATTATTATTATAATTTTATTTTTTAAAAAATACTTAAAATAAATATAATATAATTAAAAAT